TCAGGCCCTGCTGGGAGCAGACTCCAAGGTGGATGCAACAGAGATAAGTGCTTTCCTTTAGTCTTTCAGGTAGTCTTTCAGCTGATTTGAACAGGCAAACACCATATTTTGTTCCTAAAGTACATTCTGCTCACTCCAGACCAGGGGCCAAGATCCCAAGCTGGAAATGCAGTTGTTCCTCCTGGCCGAGTACTGAGTTGGGGCCAGGAATTGTGCTAAAGCCAGTATCAAAAAAATGTTTTAGAGTTGTCCTACCATTCTGCCAAGCCTTCACCCAGCTGCCAAGACCCCCCAGCTGTTTGCCAGACCAGGCTAGTACTCTCATGTTCTGTTTTTTTTTTTTTTTTTCCTGTGGGGGAGGAGAGTGTGGAGCTTCCTACTCCGCCATCTTGGAAGGTATCCTAGACACTGCTCCTTCATGGAGTGTGACAAGGTTCTAGAGGAACGTGGGATCAGAAATATTGCTGTGGACCATTTTTGGAAAATACAGTCTGCCACAGTTATTTAGCTATTTAGATTTAATAGTATCTGGTGATGTCTCTTTTGGAAATGCAGCTTGCATCCTTTAAGCATATGACTGTGTGTGTAATATTTACTCAGCTAAACTATAAAATGTAAGGGTAAAGACATTTTTATATTTGCAAAATATTTTAAAATTTATGTCCCACACACCTTTCTTGGGAAGCTACTGGGGAGCAGCTTCTTCAATAGAAGTGAGTTAACCAAGAAAGAGGAAGAGACCCAACATACAAAAGAGGTGAAGGAAATCCCCAGACTAATGGTAAAAGGGTTTTCAGTTACTCTTGCTACAAAACAAATTTCCCAAAACTTAGCATCTTAAAACAACCATTTTATCATGCTTACAGATTACTTGGGTCAGTAGATGGCTAGCTCCACAATGTTTGAAGCCTCAGCTGGGAAGAGTCAGTGCCTAGAGGTGACTTGACAGCTGGAAGCTGGAATTATCTGAGGCATTTTTACTCACATGGCAGTTGATGCAGGCTATGGGCTGGGACCTTAACGGAGGGTGTGTACTGGAATACCTACACCTTGCTTCTCAGTGTGGCCGGGGTTTCCTCACAGCATGGCACTCACTGGGTAATCAGATTTCTAGATGGCAGCTCAGAGCTTCAAAGTGAGTATCCTAGCCAGCAAGACGGAGGTGGCATTGCCTTTAATGATCTACTCTGAAAATTCGAAAACCAAAAATCAAACTCATTGCCATCGAGTTGATTCCGACTCATAGTGACCCTACAGGACAGAGTAGAACTTCCCCATAGGGTTTTGAAGGAGCAGCCGGTGGATTCAAACTGCCGACCTTTTGGTTAGCGGCCAAGCTCTTAACCGCTGGGCCACCAGGGCTCCACTTAGGAAATTACCCAGCACTAATTCCTCTGAATGCTATAGGTTACAAGCAAGTCACTAAGACTGGGCCAGATTCCAGGGGAAGGACATAGACCCCACCTCTCAGTGGAAGGAGTGTCAACTCGTGGACATGCTTTAAAACTGCTGCAGATGATTTCCTGGATGACAGCTTGGCCGTCGGTATAGGGGCATCCTGGCCCTATAGGAGGTCAGAGTTTCTAGGAGGGGTTTGTTTACGAGAAAAGTTAAATTGATAAGCATGTCCACAATGTCTGGACATCGTGGAAAAGGATTTGTAGAGTAGTGGAGAGTGTAGAATTGGATTATTGATAGGTACATAGCAAACAAAAGGATTAGTTGATTGTTAACTTCAGGAAAAAGTTATACAGGGAAAAAGAATCATCAGTTACTTCACGTGCAGCTGTGAATAGCATTTACATAGTAACAGCAATATAAACATTACCTACTAGTCTAACAGTTTTATTGGCGGATGGAAAGGACATGTCATCTGTGGGAGTTGGATACGGGGAGAGAAGAAAGAGACTATCTGTATCATCCATCCATAATTAACACCTAAAAGTCGGTGGGGGTGAGTTGCATGCTGTTTGAAGACGTGGAAGTTAATACATATAAAAATAACAAGCTAAAGGAGTAAAATGTGCTTGCCTTTGGGGAGTGGGAAATGGTGATGGTGAGGAGGGCAGAATTTCTATTTTCATTTTTTTAACTAACATTGTAGAATTCTTTGACTCTTGTGGCTGTCTAACTTTGATGAAAATAAAAGCTTAAAAAAAAAAAACTTTCCACGGAAACACTAGGCCCAGATGATTTTACAGATGTGCATCACCAAATACTCAGGCAAATCCCTGTCTTATATAAACTGTTTCAGAGACTAGAAGGAGAGGGAATGTACCCTCATTATTAGCTAATGAGCCTAATGTTCCTTTGATACCAAAGCCAGCCCAGGACACTATGAAATAAGAATATGAGGCAGTCTTGCTTAAGGACATAGTTACAAAAATATGAAGTAAAATACAGCAAAGCAAATCAAGCAAGAAGACACACACACACACACACACACGCACACACACACGCACACACACGCACACGCACACACACGCACACACACGCACACACACGCACCAGGAACAAATTGTGTGTAACCCAGGAATGCAAGGAATGTCTTTACAATGGGCCTTGAGCTGGCAGTTGGCAGCCCTGAGCTTGTCATTTTTTCCTTCTAGGTTTCTGGCGCTATTAAAGAAAGCTAGCCCACCCCACAATCCCGATAATTATCACTGCCTCAGGCCGTTGAAGTATCACAGCTATCATGTGTCCCAGTGCCTAACCCTACATGTACACCTCATTCCAGTTAGTTAACCATGAGTGAGAGTCTTAGTAGTTGTGATGCCTACACACCAAGGGTTATCATGCCCTACTTCTCACCAGCTAGAGTTCTTGCTTCCAGACTGGTGAGTACACCAACTCTAGAATGCCATCCTAAGGGTCTGTTAGTTTAGGGCCCCCCTGATACCAACTGTTCCAGCCTTGGCTCCTCCGAAAGCAGAGTCTGAAATGGTGAGATTATGTGTTGTCCTTTTTCGGGGGGAGTTCAGTCACAGGGAAGAGTGAGGGAAAGTAGGTGGATAAAAGGAGAGCCAATGTGAGGATGTATTATGGAGCTGACTGCCATTAAGTGCAACTGATGGCTTGATCTTGTTGGAACATCCCCCGAGAGGTCATGTAAACTGCTGGCGCCTGCCTTTCATTGGTCAGAGGTTTGCTGTGTGTGCCTAGGAGGAAGGCTTTCTTGGGGCATACCATGAAAGCCTTAGTCTATAATGACGGCAGTGACTGCAGCTGGATCCAGGGCTGAGGGAACAGCACAAATTGTTACTAGGGTCATTCCATGCACAGGTGCAGAGCTGAAGATACAAAACTGAGGTTAGTATCCTTTCCATATGGAAAATAGCTTGATCCCTACCTCACTCCACATCCGAAAACACTTTGCCGTAAAGATCTCGCTGTAAGAGAGTAAAACTTTTAGAAGGCAATATAGGGGGTACAGAAAGATTTCTTGAAACTGACACAAAAAAAAAAACAAACGACAAAAGTCTCATAAATTTAATTATATTAAACTTCAAAAAATGTGTACACTAAAGGACAATACAGGTTATCAGCTTGGAGATGTTTATAATGTTTAATGTGTGTATCCAGAATATATAAAGAACTCCTACAAATTAATAAGAAAAAAAACAAACTACATAGTGGAAAAATGGCAAAAGGATATGAACAGGCAGCTCACAGAACAGGAAACCCAGATGTCAATAAACGTGAAAACATGCTTATCATCATTGACGAGATGAATGAGCATTGAAACCATAATATGAGTATCTCCACATTTGGACCTGGTTCACAGCTGGGTTGGTACAATATGTTGTGCTGGGCAAAAAATGGACTGAAATGTTGATTTAGTAATACATACTTATGAATAAAAGTATGAAGACACACTTCAAATGTATGTAGAAGTTATCCGGTGGGGGCTGGGATGGGGCTTCAACTGTGTTTGTAATGTTTTGTTTCTTAACCTGGGTGATGGAAACATGGCTTTTGTCATGTTATACTTTATATATTTTATCCCATGTAATATTCCACAAGATAAAAGCAAAAGATACATATATGGGGGTGGAGGATTAAATGAGATAATGCTTGTCAAACACGTAACAGTATCTGGTTCATAGTAAGAGCTCAATAGACACTTATTATTCATTCAACAAGCATTTATTTAGTGCCTACTGTGTGTCAAATCCTATACCGAGTCCTGGAAATGCAATAGTGAGCAAAACAGATGTGGCTTCAGCTCTCACAGAGTTTACAGTCCAGAGAGGAATAGACAATAAACCAATAAGTAAAGAAAAATGAAAGTTGTATATATGCATTGAGCTTCTCTTCTGTGCTGGGCGCTGTTGGGAGTTGAGCGATGTGTGAGTCCCAGGCCTTGCCCTTAGGGAGCTCCCAGTCCGGAGGAGAGAGAAGAGAAGGTGGGACTTAACAGGGGGCTGGATGAGTTGAGTGATAGAGAGAAGCCCGGTAACACCCCTTGACTGGGCCTGTGGGAATAAATGGTCCGAAGGGATTTATGAGGATGAAGATGGGTGTATACAAGAGGCTGAGTGGTGGGGTGGGCATAGCTTTGGAGCCAGATGCTCTAGGCTCGAATCTTAGCGCTGTTACTTACCAGTTAAGGGGCCTCTCTGAACTTCAGTTTCCTCTGCTATAAAAGACAGTTCCCACCTTTCTGGGTTGTTGTGAGGATGAGGAGGCATACGCTCAACAAGTAGTAGCTGTTATTTTAAACAACAGGACAAAGAATAGGTCAAATCTGTTCCCACCTTCATTTTCACCTCATATTTTATACTTTCTACCATGGAAACTTTCAGACACAACAAGAGTAACATAATGAATCCCCATGTACCCGTCACCCAGCTTCAACAATTACCAGCTCATGGACAAGCTGGTTTCGTTATGTCTCTATCCCTTCCTCCTGCTCATATGATTTGAAGCAATTTTCTGGCCATCACGTCACTTCATCCACGAGTGTTTCTGTCTAAGAGATTACCTTTACCTTTGGACAGATGGTGATTGCCATGCAGAATACCACGGCCACCAGCCGGTACCTGCGAGTCCTCCCACCTTCTACTCCGCACTTCGCTGTAGGACTGGGTGAGTTCAGGTCGTGGTCGTCTAGACTGCATCAAAATGATGTGTTGGGCTCCCTCCCAGCTACTAGCCCACCTGGCCCTCAGAGGACCCCCACATCTGTGTCCTGAGCCCATGCCCACATTTCCCTAGGCAGCACCGGGGACTCCTTTGCGCTCAGCCAGCAGCCGGCCTGCTTGTCCTCCTGGTGAGGCCTGGTAACCTTCCTTGGCCACCGAGCCACAAGCCTCAGTCTTGACAGGTCCTTTCTCCTCATCACCTCCGTCCAGGCACCGGTTCTGTCTGCTCTGCGTCTGCTTGGGTCTCTTCTCACCCTTGGCACTCACTGCCCTCAGTCCACCCTCCTCAGTCCTCACTGACACCACTGAAGTGGCCTCCCGCCAGCTTCCTGCGTCAAGGCCACACCAGTGTTTTCTCAAGAATAACTCTGGTCCTGTCACCCCTGCTCAGAAATCTCAAAGGACTGTCTGCTGCCCACAAAATAAGTTCTAAGCCACATGGCCCCACCTAACCATTTCCTCCTGGAGTCCCTCCCCTGGCAGCCTGTTCCCCTGGCGCACACTGGTGGGTCTGCCATCATCATGCCCTTGGTCCAGAAGGCATTCACTCAGAGTCGGCTCCAGCTGTAGGGGGTCTGCCCCTGCCCTTCTGGTGGCTGGCTGGCTGGTCTCCAGATCCTCATTTGCTGCTTTTGCTGTGCACAGGGATGTTCCCAGGAAAAGGTGGAATGGTGGCTCCTGGGATGACCTGCCAGTATATTGTCCAGTTTTTTCCTGACTGCCTTGGGGATTTTGATGATTTTATTTTAGTGGAGACCCAGTCCGCCCACACGCTCCTGATCCCTCTGCAGGCCCGGAGGCCGCCCCCAGTGCTGACATGTGAGTGTGCGCCCTGCCTTCCCCGGGAGTCGGTTGGGGTTTGGAGAGTCCCTGCAGGGACTGCCTGCTGCTCGGCGTCCCCTGGTAACAGCACATGGCTTGGTCCTCTTGGGTAGGGGCTTCTGGGTCCTGAGAAGACACCTGCTGGCAACTCCACACAGTCTTCCACAGCCTCAGGCCCTGGTTGTCCTCGCTGTTGCCTTTCCCAGTGGAGGTTGACCTTGAATTGCACGTAGCAGGGGAGGAGGCCAGCAGCCCAGCTGATCCCGACATGAGTTTGCTGGTTTGAGAACCTCCCCTGAGTGGACTGTGCCACATGGGGGCAAGGAAGGGGGCCTGGGGGCCCCGAGGACCCTCAGCCAGTGTTGGCTCTGTGGCTGTAGAGGTGGGCTTCCTTTGGAAAGCTGGCTCTGACTGGGCTCCTTCGGGCATGAGCTTTTTCAGATGAGCACAGGCTGGAAGTTGGGACTCTGACCGACTCCTTCTGCCACAACCCCTAGAGCCCTGCTGAGTGACCCTCGGTGAGGCGTGAGTCCACAGTGGGTCTAATCAGAAGTGGGTAGAGTCCCACAGTGCTGCTACCGCGTGACCCAGCAGCAGTCTGGGCTGAGCCCGAGTTAATGCAGAGGTCACAGCGTGTCCCCATTCATCCTTCCTGCTCGGGGTGCTGGGCGGGGCCCCCAGGCCCTCCCATCGCTGCTCTGAGCTCTGGCGCAAGAGCAGTGACAGCAGGGCCCTCTCTTACGCCTCTTTCTCTGTGGCTGCAGTGCCTCGGGTGTTAGACTGTGGCTACTGTCTCATTGGGGGCGTGAAGATGACCAGATTCGTCTGCAAAAATGTGGGCTTCAGTGTCGGCAAGTTCTGCATTATGCCCAAAAAGAGCTGGCCACCACCAAGTTTCAGGGTGAGTGATCACAGATTGTTACCTGGAAAAAGAGCAATCCATCCGAGGCGATAACCCCCTTGGGGGACTTGCTAGAATACACCTGTGATTGTAAACACCCAGAAAACAGGGTTTCATCACCTCCCAATCCAGCTGCTGCAGTCCAGGTGAGAAGGAAGATGTATGGAGATCAGGGTGGTGGTTCTGGTTATGCGGCGAGTACCTGCATGCACGAGCTAGGGCCAGTTGTCACCTCGCTTACTCCTCAAGTCCGGCTCCGTGTCGTGGCATTCGGCCGTCAGTCAGCATGGCTGGGCCGACGTTGGAGTATATCATAGGTCCCCCATCGGCAGCTCTTTGGCTAAACCCTGCTGGCCGAATCCTGTGTCATAGTTCCGTGACACCATGGTTGACACGTTTTTGGAGCCAGCATTCACAACTAGGGAGATTTCACATAAAAACCTGCATTTCCAGTCTCTGAACAATTGGCAGATGTGCTGCGCTGGGCCAGGGTTCCACCACAGCCCTGCTGGCTGGAGCTGGGAGGCGGGGCACGTGCACTGCCCCCGTTTGCCCCGCCCTGCCACCCCCATAACAGTCCCAGTGCTTACGCCGTTTCTCATTGCGTGCACACCAGTATTTTTCGTATAGGAGAGAGATTTCTCTGTAGCCATGTCTCCAGAAAACAAGTGGTAGATCCGGAGGGCCACGTGTTCCAAGAAACATTTCACGCACCCATCTTACCTGCCCGGGCCGTAGGCAGGGTTTGTGTCCCTGCATGCCCAGTGGCTTCCTGTATAGGTACCGGGGATGCAGCCTTGCTAACAGGATGGCAGCTGCCCTCAGGTCTCAGGAGCCCACAGCCAGGAGTGGGTGAACAGTGGGGACAGGCTGTAAGTGGGCAGTAACAGTACAGGGGGCCGCAGTAGGGCAAAGGACCGTGTGCTTTGGGGGCCTAGAGGGACTCCTCAGCCCACCTCCTCTGGGAGGCCTTTTCTCGCCCCTCCTGTTGTATGTCTGAGCACCTGGCAGTGGTATTCCTTGTGCCTCCTACAGAGGGTGCTCTAAGCCTTCCTCGTCCTTAGCCTTCAGAGTCTCCCGTGCCTGGCGCATGGTGAAGGCTGAGTAAATGCTTGCTGGATGAGCCTTAGTTTCTCCATCAGTATGGGACTGGATGATCCTTAAGCTCCTTCAGCGCTCCAAATGGATGTTTTGAGGGGAGAAATTTGCAGTGTGAACGCTGGATTTCACCATTTCTTCCACATCATTGTGTGACCTTTTGCTTTTCCTTAAGGCTGTGGCCACCTGTGGCTTTGTTGAACAGCTTCCCTTTGGAATCCTGCCTTCAGTGTTTGAGCTGGCCCCAGGGCAGGCCATATTGGTGGAGGTAGGTAATTAGACGTTGGGGTGTATTTTCTCCTCCTTGTGACTGTTGTTGTCGTTTTTAGGTGCCATCGAGTTGGGTCCGACTCATAGCAGCCCTATAGGACAGAGTGCAACTGCCCCATAGGTTTCCAAGGAGAGGCTGCCAGCCTTTTGGTGAGCAGCTGAGCTCTTAACCGCTGTGCCACCAGGGCTCCATGCCTTGTGATTAGTCTGCTTACGGGATTTCATTCACTCTGTGTTTTTGTGACCCAAGTGTCCATTCCCAAGGTAGCCCAGCCCCAGAAGCTTTCTGGGTGAATACGTGTGCCTACGTTCTCTAGAGCCATGTCCTTTGACTGTCTCGGGGCCTCCCCCACAAAGTGAGCACCTTCAGAAGCCTAGCGTTCCACCATGGTCTCCGAGCCTCACTTGCCCACACCTCAGCCTGGGAGTCACCTCCATCAACACTTCAGCTGCCCCCAAGATCTCTCTTAGCCCCTTCCCGCCCCCCCTCGCCACCACCACCGTCTCTGGCACCTGGGTGATGAGACTGGCCTTGTTCCTCCCTTTCCTGTTCTATCCTCAGTTTGTGTGGTCGCGAGGCCTGCCTGCCTTAGGCCCCATTCCAGAGGCTCTGACCCCCTCCTGCGGCCTTCTCCCTTCCTGACTGTCCCCTTCCAGCATTCGCTCGGGCTTGTCACACCTGCTCGCTGGTCCTCAGAAGTGCCTGAGGCGCAGCACTGCCTTCCTGTCGCTGCAGCTCCTCTCCTCCCTGGTCCCGGGGTCTGACCCTGTGCTGCCACTGTGGCAGATGTGGGGCTGCCTCACACAGGCTGGGCCTTCCTCACTATTCTGCTTAGCACCCAACATCCAGAAACAAAAGCTGCCGGGTTTCTGGGGGGGTGTTTGGCCTGCACCATGATGTCAGGTAGTGAGATCCACAAGCCGTTGGTTCTCAAACTAGGCTGCACTCTGGAATCCCCTGAGAAACTTGAAGACACACTGCTGCCTGGGTCCCAGCCCCGAGGTGGAATTAATGGGGAGGGGGGTGAGTAAGACTCTGGAAACTCCCCAGGGGGTCCTGCTGTGGCCAGGCGCGTGGACCACGGCCATATGGCTCTCTGCCGCGCTGGAAGGCAGGGCGTCCATAGTCAGCCCTTGAGTGCCAAGTGTCTAGTGGGTTCTGGTTCCAGAGCCCGGGCGCTTGGCTCTCTGGTTCATGTCAGTGCAGGTCTGGTCCCCAGTGAGGACCTGGCTGTCAGGGTTGAAACTGGGCCAGTTCAGGGGTGCAGTAGGGCTTTCACAGTCCTCGTCTGCCGCTGAGGGCCAGGCTGGGCCTGCAGGGTCCACTCAGAGGCCAGGCTCTGTCTCCCCTCGGGCTAGCCCAGACCTTGTCAGAGCCTCGTCCTGACTCTGAGGAACTGGGGGCTGGTCTCCCCTGACCATGCCCAGACTCCCATCTTGTCTCATCCTCCCATGAGCCCCAGGAAAAGGAAGAGGGTGGCAGGAGGACCCTCTGGGGAGCAGTCGGGGAGACAGGGAGGTCTCTCCCCCTTGCATTCCTTATATATTTTGCTGGCTGGTTACTTTGGTTTTTGTTTATTTGTTTTAAACATATTTATTCTTCATATTTACATATTTCCAAGTTAGAAATAAACTCGCATGATTAAAAATTCAGAAAACGCAAATAGGTCAACAGGGAATCGCTCCCCTTCACCTCGCTTCCTCTCCCCAGGGCCACGACCTCAGCAGTCTGTGAGTGCACCTCCAAGGTGTACTAGGCCTCAGTGAGCACCTACACGCCTGCTTTTTCTTCTTTTCATCCGTTTTTCCTTTACACGAACCGTTTCCCACTCTGTGCTCTGTTTGCACTTAACGCTGTGTCTTAGAGAGCATTCTCATCTTTTTCACAGCTGCGTGGTATTCCACTGTGTACGTGAACCGTGATTTAGTTCAGCGGGCCTCTCCTGATGAGCACAGAGAGTTTTTCTGATCTTTGGCTCTTTCGCCAGATAGCTTGTACATACCTCCCTCGGTCCAAGTATGAGTCTACCTGTAGGATACAGGCCTTAAAGATTTGCTGGACCAAGGTCTTTGCTCTCAGAATTTGATACATGTTGCCAAAATCCTCTCCATGAAATGGTACCAGTTCATACTCCCACCAGCAATGTGTGAGGGTGCCAATGTAATGTGTTATCAAACTTTAAAAAACTAACATGGACTTTTTTTCTCTAATTTTTGTTTATTTTGTTGTTGTTGAGAATACACATAGCAAAACATACCCCCATTCAGCATTTTCTGCATAAACAATTCAGTGACGTTGGTTGCATTCTTTAAGTTGCACAACCATTCTTACCTTCCTTTCTGGATCCTTCCTCCCTCAATGTAAAAATGGCGTCGGGGAGTCATCTGGCCTCCTGTGACTTCACCAGGAGAATCAAGATCAACAGCCCAAGGCTGATCCATATGAGGCAGAGGTCAGCCATGCCTCCTCTCTCTGCCATCTTTACCGATTTTGTCACCAGCCGTCCCTCCCACGGCGCGCTCTACTTCTCTGCTGGCTTCAGTAATTCATTGCAGTGACCAAACAATGCACAGACAGTACTCACGATTATGGGGTTTATTAGGGAAACAACAGGTTACATTTCAGGTTCAGGAACACTCAGGATACAGTTCTTCCATCCCGACAGCTTTTTCCCAGCTATGCTCGCAGGCAAGCCTCTCCCTGGCCCTCAGCCTCTGCCTGGCCCTCTGCCTCTGCCTTGCTCAGGCAAGTGTTACAAAGTTCTTTTAGCTCTGCTGGTAAGTGCCAGAAGGCAGCCCAGTCTGCCAGCAAGCCTCCTGCCCCCAAAGGTGCTCAGCTTTCTCACTCCCTGGGCCAAAAGCACACCACACTGTCTCCTGCTGGTCTCGCCGTCTTCCGTGTCACAGCTCTCTCCCTTGCACCTCCGGATTCCAGGAACTTCTCAGTGCAGGGACCCAGGGTCCAAGGACACGCTGTACTCTTGGCTGTTCTTTCCTGGGGGTTGTGCGATCCTCTTTCCCGCCTCTGGGGTGGCTCATTTCAAGCCTAGCGGGATGGCAAACCTGACCAATCCCCTTGGTGGGCCACAGTTACCCTATTTTCACAGTCCCACCCAATCACTTGGGAGGGAGTTACAAGGCCATGGCAAGAAAGGCCACACAAAAGCGATCCATCGCACCACCCTCATTTACATAAACTTACTGCCCGCCAGGGTTCCCATGCCAGGGTTCCCATGCAGTTGTTGGAGCTCCTGTTGTCAATTTGATTCCCTATAGATAGTTCACAAAAGAGCATGATGCTCAAGGTGGACCTTTGTTACTAGTTATGCTAAACTATTGTTCAGTTCCAGAAAGACTTCAGGGGATATTTTTGGTTTAAGATAATAAAGATTATCTCAGGGCAGTAGTTTCAGGGGTTCATCCAGGCTTCTTGGCTCTGGGAAGCCTGGATCCATGAGAATTTGAAATTCTGTTCTGCATTTTCCCCATTTAGACAAGCATTCTTCTATGGAATCTTTGTTCAAAAAGTTCAGTAATGGTAGCTGGGCACCGTCCCATTCTTCTGGTCTCATGGCAAAGGAGGCAGTTGTTCATGGAGGCAATTAGCCACACATTCCATATCCTCCTTCTATTCCTGACTGTCCTTTCTCTGTTGCTCCAGGTGAATAGAAACCCCAATTGTAGTGCCGTGTATGGCTGCTTGCAAGCTTTTAAGACCCCAGGTACTACCCAGTGAACTGGGGGATAGAACAGAAGCATTAAACACAATATTAGGCCAGTTAACTAGGATGTCCCATGAAACCATGACCCTAAACCTCCAAACCAAGGAACCAAATCCCGTGAGCTATTTGGTTGTACATAAGCAGCCTCAGCAGCTACTCTTTTTTTTTTTTTTTTGGTCGTTATTGTGGATCTATCTATCACACAGCTTTTGCCAATTCAACTCTTTGCAGGTATACAACTTACTGACAGCAATTACAATAATCAGCTGTGCAACCTTACCCTTCATCAAGGTGATTTTTCCATCACCATTAACCCTTATCTTCCCCCTCCCTCCCGACCCTGCTAATAAACTTTGATCTCCGTACGTTTGCCTTTTCTTGTCTTTTTGTATCAGTGAAGTCATACAGTATTTGTCCTTTTGTGACTGGCTTATTTCGCTCGCCATGATGTCTTCCAGCTCCATCCACACCGTAGTGTGTATCAAGGCTTCGTTTCTCCTCCTGGCCGAGTAGTGTTCCATTGTGTGTACGGACCACATTTTGTTTATCCATCTGTTGGTGGGCGTTTAAGTTATTTCTACCTTTTGGCTGTTGTGAATAGTGCTGCAGTGAACATTGGTGTAAGAGTGTCTTTTGAATCTCTGCTTTCAAGTCTTTTGGGTATGTACTTGGAGTGGAGTTGCTGTGTTATATCGTAGTTCTAGTTTTAGTTTTTTGTGGAACTGCCACACTGTTTCCCACAAAGGCTGTACCATTTTGCATTCCCACCAGCAATGGATAAGGGTTCCAATTTCCTCACATCCTCACCAACATTTGTTTTTTTTTTTGTCTTAGCCATCCTAGTGGGTGTGAAATGGTATCTCATTGTGGTTTTGATTCGCATCTCTCTGATGGCTGATGACGCTGAACATCTTTTAATGCGTTTGGTGGCCGTTTGAATGTCCTGTTTGGTGAAATGTCTATTCAAGTCCTTTGCCCATTTTATGATTGGGTTATTTATCTTTTTGTTAAGTTGTCGAAGTTTTATATAATTTTGGTTATTAGATTCTTGTTCGATATATGGTTTCTGAAGGTATTCTCCCAGTCGGTGGCTTGTCTTTACGCTTTTTCGGTAGAGTCTTTTTGATGAACAAAATTTTTAATTTTTTTGAGGTCCCACTTATTTATTTTGTCTTTTGCTGTTTGTGCTTTTGTTATTACATTAGGTAATCCATTGTTGAAAGCTAGGCATGACAGCGTTGCCCCTGCTTGTTCTTCTAAGAATTTATGGCTTTAGTTTGCATATTTAGGTCCTTAATCCATTTTGCATTTGCTTTTGTTAAGGTGTGAGGCATGGATCCTGTTTCATTTTTCTGCATGTGGAAATCCAATTTCCTCAGCACCATTTATTGAAGACAGTGTCCGAGTAGGGGAAGGGTCCTCATGCTCCAAACAGACCCCTGGGGAGGTCTGTCTTGTTGCTACCAGAGCCCCCCAACCCCGATAGTATGTTGGCTGTGGGTGTAGGCTCCACTCAAGATGCCTGCTTCCTAGTCCATAGCAGCCTCAGTCAGCAGTCCTCAGTGCCGAACGGGAAGGGGAGCAGGCAGCCCAAACTGACTCCCCGGAAGGTCTGTCCTGGTGTTTCAAGCCTGAGCTATGGGGTGCGCAGGGAGGCAGGTAGGGTGTTGACTTTGAGAGAAGGCTCCACTGCAATAGCCTTCTGTAGCAATTCCCAAAGTAGGCTTGCAGCCAACAGTGTCTGGGTGGAGGGTGCTGGGATGTCCAAATGGACCCCAGGATGGTCTGCCTTGTTGTTTTTAAAGCAGAAGCTTGGGGTCCTTTCTCTTTGTAGAAGCAGGGGGTGTAGCAGTTAGGGAAACAAGCCTTTTTTCTGGGGCCACTTCCCCAGTTCACAGCAGCCGGCAGCCCGTGTGGCTGGGGGCAGGGGGGCGTCCAGGGATGTTGGGAGAAGCAGTTTTCCTACCATATTTGACTTGCTGATCATTGATCCTTGCCTGTCTGAGTTTTCCACTGCTTTCTTCTTCCCCAAAGCCGAGTGCCATCTCCCTGTTGTATTTGTTGGGGAGGGCTGGAATGGTGATCTGTTTACGCCGCCATCTTTGAGAGCTACCTGGTACGGACATTTGTAAACATACACAAAATTAGCGAGAACAGTGTAAGGATCCCCCATGACCTCATCACCCAGCTTTAACAATTACCGGCTCTGGGCCAATCTTACTGCATCTTCACCCTTGCATTCCCTCCAAACAATCCCCACCTTGACCCTCTAGATTATTCTGAAGAAAATCCAAGACATCATATCACTGCATATGGTAGCTAACTTTCTGCTCTTGCCAATATGATAAGTAAAAAATGGTTCTTCTGCGTGGTTTTTATTTACATTTCTGTTCTTCTGAATGAAGTTGGACATGTTGTCATTTGTGTAAGGGCTACTTTTATTTCCTTTTCTGTGAACTTTCTCTTCATATCCTTTCAGCACACTCCCTGCGTGACTCTGCGGTAGAGCTGGGCCCAAAGCCCACGGCCTTAGGTGTGCAGAGGGGGAGTGTGGGACGGGAGGAGGGCACGAAGCAAAGAGCGGAGGGGGTGTGTGTCTGGGAAGAGAAGGGTGGAAGGTGAGGTGGAAGCCTGATAGTGGGAGGTAACAGGGAGACACCTCTCTCCCCAGGTCCTGTTCCTCCCAACGAGCCTAGAAGAGGCAAAGCAGACCTTCGTCATCGTGTGTGACAACTGTCAGATCCAGGAGCTGGTGACCGTAGGTGGGCTTGCATGTACTTCCGGGGGCAGGGCTGGAGTGGATACCCTGCTTCCCGCCCCCACCCCGCCAGCTCCAGAAGCTGCTGCACAGCTGTACTCTGTCAGGGAGCACTCTGAGGGGGTGCTGTAGCCTCAGGCCTTGGGTCGGTCTAGCTTTGAGCCTCTCGTTCGGGTTAAACCTCAGAGACCTCCAAGCCTGTATGTCCTCCAGGGCAGTCCCAAGGAGATTTCTTCTGAGTAACACATGGAAGCCTGGGTGAGGTCTTTCAGAGCTTCCCTTTGAAACTCCCCTTGATCTTTTTTAGGGAATTGCCGATGACTTACACATAAACCACTAGAGGTGCCTCTGGCTCTCTGTGGGGTCAGGAGCTTCCTGCTGAATTTCTCTAAGATCCCCATGCTCCTTTCTTGCCTCCACCCATCCACCCATCCACTTATCCAGCCAGCCAGCCAACCATCCACCCACCCACCCGTCTAGTTTCATTCAGCAAACGTTAATTGAGCGCCTGCTGAATTAATTCTTGAAATCACCTCCTTTGGGTCTGTCAGATGTGGGGATGTGAATCTGTGTGGGGTTATGCTAATGGCCCCAACCCTCTCTTGTGTGCACTTCCGGGGTCACGGTGGGAGATGGCTCTGGGGGAGTCACTGTGGGCTTCCATGCTGGCCGAGGCCGGCCTCATGGGGATGGTGGCATGTGGGCCTCATGTGGGCCTGTGGCAGCCTTTGGCCACGGAGTCATGGTTTCAGCTCTCGGCTCTCGTCCTGAACTTCACCCCTTACTTTGTCAGGAATCGGGCAGCTGGTTGCTGTGGATCTGATCTATGTTTCTGGTGAGAAAAGTCAACCAGAGCCTGGAGAGCTCACAGACTTAACAGCCCAGCATTTCATACGCTTTGAGCCTGAAAACCTTCAGTCTACTGCTAGGAAACAGCTGATCGTTAGAAATACTACGTGAGTGGTCCCTGTACAACACCCCACCACACCCCTTCTCCCTCCTCGCCTGACCCCGAGTTCCCAGTGAGGAGGGAGCTTCTTTCCAAGGGCCAGGGAGGGGTCTAGGTACAGAGTGGAAGAAGGCCGATTCTCACTGCCCAGTATGGTAGCCACTAGCCATATACGGCTACTTAAATTTAAATCAGTTAAAATTAAAAGCAGTTAACAGTTTGGTTCCTCAGTGGCACTAGCCGCATTTCGAGTTCTCAGTAGCCTCCCGCGGCTAGTGGCTACTGCAGGCAGCACAGGTCCCTAACCTTGCTGCCATTGCAGGAAGTCAGGGGGGACAGTGCTGATCTAGCTCGTCCTGGGCCATCCGTAGCCAGAACGGTTTTCCAGAGAGGTCCTGCTGTGCCCATCCAAGTCCCAGGGCCAGACGGACTGTGGCCTGTAGGTTCGTTTCCCACTGCCCTTGTTTCCTGACCGTCCTCTGAGCACCGTCAGTACACCAGCACAGCACACCAGGACGTACCTCGGGGAGCTCTGAGCCAGGGCTGGCCCGGTGGCCCCAGGTGTTGCACAGGATTCTGTCACTTGGCATGATCTGGTTCTCCCGACAGCTGCCCGTCAGCAACATGCCTGGAGCCCTGCCCTGCCCCACGACCACGGCATTGTCATTGCTTCTCTCGGCACCCAGCGGGCACATAGCCTTCTAGGCAAGGCTGCCTGGGAGGCAGTAGCTGGAGAGGTGGAGGGCAAGGGTAGGGGTTGATGTGGCAAATCTTTGAAATTCTCATGTGATAGGAGACACTGCAGGGGCTTTCCCTGACATCTGGAGAGGTGCCTAGACCCCCACAGGTTAAAGGTCTCCCTGGTTTACTCTTTCCCCTGAGTTGCCATGGCTCTCGCCTCCAGCTATGGTGGGTGAAGGGCGAAGGACTCTTACATGCTCTCCAGCTTGGACTCCGTGCCCCACCTGCCATCCTTTCCCCTGTTCCCCCAGGCTCCTCTATCCTGCTTCTGTTCACTTCCTGCCTCTGGGTCCTTCTTGGAGCAGGGCCAGGCTAGGCTTGGGGTGGAAGGCCCTGGTCCTGGCCCGTGATCCATGCCCACTCTCAGGGTTCCCCCACAGGCACGTGGAGCTGGCCTTCCACTGGCAGATCATGAAGCCCAACCTGCAGCCCCTGATGCCAGGAGAAGTCTACAGCATGGACAGCATCAAGTGCCACCCTGACTGGGAGACAGCCTTCTCCATCGTGCCCGGAAGCGGGGTTCTCAACCCCCACATGGACCACGAGTTCATCCTGAGCTTTTCTCCTCATGAGGTTAAACTGGGGCCATGTTGGTAGTCATGCATGAACGGGTCATGATGCTTTGACCCTCCATCCATGTTCTTTCATGAAATTGGAGCTGTCCCGCCGAGGCCGGCACTTAGCTGAGGGAGCTGGAGGACATGCCTGGTGTGCTGGAAGCAACAGCTGACCGCTGGTCCTGATCACTGACACCCTGTCTGCAGCAGACCTGGGCTTGTCCCCTCAGCTCTGCTGTCTTCCATGTTTCTGTTTATATCAGAGACACGAGCAGCCCCTAGAGATTGAGCTGCAGGTTTCCCAGGGAGAGTTTGACACAGCTCCCTACCCAGAGTGGAAGCCCTGAGTGTGACAGGCAGGAGAGAAAGGAGAGCTGGGTGTGAGAGGCCTGGGGGCCCTTGTTAGTGGATTTGGGACTAGGATGAGCAGCTCTGCCACTCAATGAAGTGCCTACTTCATTGTTCTGGGACAGTGTGGTGCTTCAGACACATTGAGGGCCCCACCAAGCAGGCAATGTTGAGGTCTGGAGGGCCTTTTCTTCCTGTCCCCCAGATCCGGCGGAGGTAGGCACACCAGCCTTGAGACTGTGGCAGCTCCCAGCCTCTGATCCTGGCAGCCAGCCCCTCTCTGCAGGGTGGGGAAAGCTGGGAGGGAAGCAGCACTGTTTTCCTGAGGGCCTTTCTGGGGGGTAGGCCAGTGGGGAAGGGACCCCTGCCGTGGCTCCAGCTACCCCAGGACACCCCAGCTGGGGTGTGCTGCGTCTCCAGGAGGCTGTTTGTCTTGCAGCTGAGGGTCTTTCACAGCGTGCTCCAGATGGTACTAGAACAAGTCCCCGAGCCCAGGAGGTGAGCGAGCCAGGGCTGGCCCCCGGGCAAGGGGGGCAGCTGGGCTTGGCTCCCCAGGGGATGCCTCGGGAAGGCACAGGGCGGGTGAGTAAGCAGTCTGACCACCAGCAGGCCTTGGTGAGGGGGCTCAGCACGCAGGAGGTAGAGCTCCTGGACACATGGCAAGAGCTCCAGGCCATCCAGGAAGCTTGGAGCCGAGCTCCAGGCTCATGTCTCCCCCCAACCCAGCAGCCAGGCTGCTGGTCCCAGGTGGTGGTGACTGGTGAGGGACGTTGTTGCCTTGTGAGGGTGTCTCCACCAGCTCATCCCTAAGTAAACCATCGGGGTGGGTCTCTGTCAGCCTTGCACAGAGACCGCAGGCTGGGGCATGCAGTGGAGTCCCTGGGGGCAGCAGGCGGGTGCCCCTGTCCTGGGCCTCCAGCTCGTATCACCCTTTCAGGGCGGTGGCCAGTGCCTCTGATTTTAGGGACCTGTGGGTGGGAAAGCATTTTCTTTTCACAAGGAGACCAGGGATGCGGGACAGAGGCGAGGAACGTGCAGGGCCATGCTCCCTGTGGTGCTGGCTGCTGGCTCAGGGTGGCCTTGTGTTCAGTTCAGAAATTCAGAGCCTGGAGGAAGCTCCCTGCTGGGCGGATGATGTGATTGTCCTGGAGGTTGAGGTGAAAGGCTCGGCAGAACCTTTTCAGGTCCTCTTGGAGCCCTGTGTGCTCATCATCTCGAGAGAGAACTACATTGGTGTAAACGTGAAGAAGGATTTTAAGGTAGACCGTGTCTCTCCCCAGCCCGGGCCGCCTGAGGAGGGAGCTGGAGGGGCAGATGGCGGCAGCCCCTGCGAGGAGGCTGAGGCTGCTCCCAGGGCCCCTGGTCTCAACTTGGTTTGCACAGACGCCTGGGCCAGGCATTTTGTCAGCTCCCAGGACCCCGAGAGACGGGGCTGTGGAGCCCACGCCTGTCTCCCGGGGCTTTGGCAAGATGTGGCTTCTAGAGCAGAGCCCTGCCCAGAAACCCTGCACGAGGGGTGAGCGTGCTGCTGGCCTCAGGGGTCCGGAGTGAACAGGGAGGGGCGGAGTAGGCCCGAGGTGAGCCTGCAGCCCCACGGTCCTCAGCGGGGACAGAGCCGGCGGAAGGCGGTGCCTCAGCAAGCCGAATCGTGTGTGTCTTTCAGATGTGGAACAACAGCAAGTCGCCCATCAGATACGTGTGGGAGAAGATTAGCGACTGCCACATCATTGAAGTGGAGCCCTGTGCAGGGGTCATAGGTGCCGCAGGCTGTGGGAGGGGGCGGGACCTGCCTGGGCCTGGCTGAGAGAGGAGGCTTCAGAGCAGGGACGGAGTACCCCGTGAGCGGGCGTGCTCCCCGTGGGCCCGTGCTCCCCGTGGGTCCCCCGTGCCACGCTTACTGGTCACCCCACCCCTGCTTCGGGGTTGAAGGGGCCTGTGCAGAGCTCATGGTTCCCTGTGACCAGCTGCCGCTGAGGCACACCATGTGCAGTGGACAAAACGCCGGCAGAGTTGGGACTCTGGGCCTGGCCCCGGAAGGACACCGCCCCTGATTCTTTTCCAACTCTCACTTCCCCCCTCGCTCCCAGAGCCCAACGAGGTCGGGGATTTTGAGTTGAACTTTACCGGGGGTGTGCCTGGGCCCGCAAGCCAGGACCTGCTGTGTGAGGTCAAAGACTCAGCCTCGCCTGTGGTGCTGCACATCGAGGCGACCTTTAAGGTGCTGCGGGCGGGGCTGGGCGGGTGGACCGAGACAGCTGGCGGGGATGGGGCCCAGTGACAGGCCCCATGCATGTCTCAGGGGCCTGCGCTCGTCCTCGGCATCTCAGCCCTGCAGTTTGGTTTGCTTCGCCTGGGCCAGAAAGTCACACTCTCCATCCAGATCCAGAACGTCAGCCAGCTCCCAGCCACGTGGCACATGAGGGAGAGTGCGGTCTGCCTGGAAGAAAGGCGTGAGAATGTGAGTCGGCTCTGCTGGCCCCGTGCGCCCCTTTGCTCGTGCGTGTTGGATGGGAAGCCCGTGCTGGTGCATTCAGGGCTCTGAGGTGGGAGAGGAAGAGCTGGCCTGGTGATGTTTGCCTGGTGGTGTCCCCAGTCCTACCCATCCCCGGGGCAGTTGGCGTCCTCTCTGCGCTGCACCCCGCGTTTTCCTGACCTTTTTTCCACTGTTTGATGGGTAAATAGGACATGGGTTTGTCCGTCTGTCCAAGCAGCCTGAGTTAGGAAGAAGACGGGCGGCTGCGTTGGTCAGGAAGCTTCCCAGGCTGCTGTTGCCAAGGCTGGGTTCCCTGCCTCTGAGAAGGTCACGTCTGCTAGGCTCACCCCAAAGCTACTGACCCTGTCTGGGATGGTGGTTGCTGTTTGAGTACCTGCCACCAGGTGGCATCCCGACAAGGCTTGTGGGTCAAACCAAAAGGCTCAGAAGGAAGAGTGTAGAGTCACTTCCTTCAGAGAGCTTAGCTTCTCCTCCTCCTTCCTCCTCTCCTATTGCTTCCTGAAGATCAACTCAGGAACTTCTGAGAGTGGCTGAGTTATTATCCTCACCTGGGGTGGCATCACATACAAGCACAGTGTACAGTCTGCAACAGACAAAGCTGCAACAGACAGACATGACTCGCCAGTTTGCTGTCCCCGCTCTGCCCCCTGGATGGCTGGAGCCCACGGGGGGCCGCCCTCGGCTGTCCCACATCTGTGAGACCCTGGCCAGTGTGGCGTGGAGAAAACACCCTGCCTCTTGCTGCTTCCCATCAGGTCCCCTCGTCCCGCCGCTCGCTTGCACACTTCTCCTTCCCCACTCAGAAGCCAGGGAGAGACGCCTGCAGCCACTTTTCCTTTCCCCAGGCCTTCCCTCTCTGCTCAGAAGCTGCTGCTCCTTCACGCAACTGCCTTGCCTCTCTCTCTTTCTCTGTCTCTGTCTATCTCTCGCAGCACTCTGGAACTTAGAAGGTAGGACCATTTGCATCCAGTCACCGACGCCATTGCCAAATGTCCCGTGTAACAGTGATCCCCCCTGCCCCGGGGCTAATGGGTTTCCCAGCCTAGATCCTACTTCTAGGGGTAATATCAGAACATTCAGCGTTCACATCATTCTAGGCAGGAATCCTTCTGTCAAATGAAAGCTCGGCAGAAGCCCAGTGTGTAGAATGAAGTACGTCCACTCTGGCCACCGAGAGACTCCTTTGCTAGGTACCCCTGCCCCATCCTGCCTCTACCCACACCCCATCCCTTGCTTGAGGCACTTCTGAGGAACCCCTGGGATTTCCCAGAGCACAGGTGGAAGCTGAGGACCTCAGCCAATCTCATTTGACAGAGGAGAGGCCCACAGGGACACACAGACTCCCCCAGAGCCACCCAGCTAATGGTGGTGGCGTCAGATCAGATCCTGGTTTTCTAATGCCCGGTCTGTTTTTCTCCCGTTGTGACGATTAACTGTATTTTATCACTAAAATAACTGTCGCTCGTATAGTACTTCAAGATTGTATCATAACTGAGGCTGGTAGGAATCCTGTCTCCATACTCTTTTCTTTTGAGCTCTCGTAAAATAACGTTGGGATTTGGGGTTCGTTAGATGCTCTATGTCAGGAGACCCAGAGCTACTGAAACCCTGCCCGGGATCACAGCCACACGTGAGCAGCAAAGACAAAAGAAAGCAAAGTGACTTTTGCCTCCCAGCTGAGCTGGGGTCCCAAACTCCGTGCCTGAGCCTTGGTGAGCCAGGCTGGAGCGCGTGGGGCCCTCTTTTCTGTGCGAGTTAGGCCTAAGCAGCCTCCACTGAAGGCCAGCACCCCTCCTACCAGGGCCGGAGAGGCGCTCCCCCTCGGGGGGAGCCTGTGTGTCCCTGTGAAACCTGCAGGAGAACACAGGCCCAAGGCAGGCAGGGTGGGGTGGGATGAGAGAGGCCAGGCCAAGCCCATGTGCCAGCCACATGGGTAAAGGACACTGAGGTGGACGGGCACAGCCCTTGTGCTCACTGGGTCTCAGGGAAGGGAGAGACCAGAGGGAGACACGCCTCCTGGCTGTGACCTTCCAGTGTGCAGTGATGCCCACTACTGGTGTGGCCCACTTGGCGCCACTCAGCCAGGTGATGCCCCTTCTCCCAGTCGGGTAGGAAGGAGGGAGTGTGGAGGGCCTTCCCCAGGGGCAGACGTTCCCTTTCCCTTCCTCTTTCCCTTTGCGCGCCTAGTGATGGGGAGTGGGCCGGACCTGCCGGGGGTGAAAGAGTCCCAGCAAGTCTGTGTTGAGGGGTGGCATGGCAAGAGTGAGGAAGAGACCAGGGGATGCAAAGGAGAGAGTTGAAGGCGTCAGGGTCCTGACTGATGCTGGCTCAGCTGGGCAGACCCCTCGGAGGGCCACCTTCTCCCCAGGATGGCGCACAGACGTGTACAGACTCGCTCTCACTCCCCAGCCAGCGTCCACCTGCTGGCCAAGCCCTGCCCGCTCCTCCAGGCAGTCCTCCCCCCCAGACCCCCCCTCCGCCTTCCACCTCTCAGTGCATGGAGACCTCCAGCTGGTCTCCTGCTTTAACTTGGAGACTCAGTGTTTGTCCCCTTAGTCCTGAGACTCGCTCCGCTGGAATCTCCTGCCAGCTTGCCTCCTTCTGGATCCCAGATGGCTCTTTGAAGAACTGGGGGCAGCTTGGGGGTAACCATGGTTGGGTACTACCACTAGCCCCTACTTCTTCTGCAATGCCAAGTGCTCCCTCCTCATCCTTCTGGTTTACCTCCCAACCAGGAGTCTCTCTTCAACATTGAGCCCCCAAGCGGCCACCTTCACCCTCTGGGGGAGTGCACAGTCAATGTCACCTTTGAGGCCTTGCTCTGCCAGAGCCTGCAGACTGTCCTGGAGCTGGAGGTGGAAAACGGGGCGTGGAGGTAAGAGGGCGAGAGGAGAGCCATTACAACAACTTTGTGCCCATTCGCGGTGTATTATGTGTAATTATGGATTTATCTGTAGACATTTCTAAATTGAAAGGTATTGCCGTTGCTGTTAGGTACCATCTAGTTGCTTCTGACCCATAGCGACCCCGTGTGCAACAGAGTGAAACACTGCCCAGTCTTGCGCCATCCTCACAAACGTTGCTGTGTTTGAGCCCGTTGTTGCAACCACTGCGTCAGTCCATCTCATTGAGGGTCTTCCTCTTTTTTGCTGACCCTGTACTTTACCGAGCGTGACGTCCTTCTCCAGGGATTGGTGTTAGTACATGCTTATTCTATAAGATTTGGAAATTACGGAAAAGAAAATTAAGATGACCCATACGCCATTACCCAGAGATCATTATAGGGTGTATCCTTCTAGTGTGTATTCATTTTTGTTAGTTTTACAAGATGGGAGTGGTATAATTAGATAACTTACTTTTTTCACTTAGTAATGTAGTGTGTTTTATCGTATTGTCACATTTTCAACACCATCACTTTTAATCGTTTTACGTTACAGTTGTTGGGTGCCATCGAGTCGATTCCGACTCATAGTGAACCTGTGTGACGGAGTAGAATTGCTCCATAGAGTTTTCCAGACTGTTACCATTTATAGAAGCAGATCAATAGGTCTTTCTCCTGCAGGGCCCCTGGGTGGTTCACACTGCCGACCTTTGGGTTAGCAACTGCACGCGTGACTGTTGCACCACCAGGGCTCCTTCATTATTGCCTAATATTTCATAATATGTACCGAAATTACTTAACCTGCACCCACATTATATACATTTAGTCTGTTTGTGGATCTTTGCTGTTCTAAATAACGCTGATATAACCATTTTTCTCTTACACCTTCTTGTATACGTTGTACACATTGTCTTCACGTTCCCTAGGATAAAAGACCGTGTCCCTAGCCATACGTATCGTTGAGGTTTTTGACACAAATCGCCAAATTCCCTCCCCCAAAAAGTCACATCATTTTATACTTCTTTCCAGTAGTAATACTGATTATCCATTTGCTGAACCTTAACCAAAACTACATATTCCCATTTATCTCTATCACTGTCAGTGTGATAGGTGAATTGTGAGGCATAGTTTCATTTACATTTTGTTGATTGTTAGTGTTTTCCTACGAGTTTAACTTTTTGTATTTTTCTGTGAAACGCCCGTTCTTTTCTCCTCCCGTTTTTCTTTGGGGTTTTTTTTATATGAGATACAAATACTTTGCCCAGTTTGTCGTTTGCCTTTTAATTTCATTTAAAATTCTTATAAAGAAGTTTAAAATTTTTACATGATCAATTCCCTCAATCTCTTCCCTTGTTTTATATTTCGAAGACCTTCCCTACCTAGAGATAAACCAACCACCATTCTTATGATTTTTTTAAAGTTTCATTTTTTAGTTAATTCTTCCATCCGTTTGTAATTCGCTTTGATCTGTGGTTTGAGGTGGAGCGCTAACTTAATTTTCCCCTAAATGGTTATGAACGGTCCCAGCATCATCTGTTGAACAGTCAGTCTTCGCCCACTATTATAGTAAGTGTGTATATTAAGTTGGGTCTGTGTCTGGGCTTTTTCTAGTGTTCCCTTGATTTGTGTTTCAGGGGCCAGTACTTCACTAGAGTATTAAACATGTTAATATCTAGTATTACAGTCTTTCCTTATCTTTCTTTTTGATTTATGCTATATTTTGTTTAAAAATTATGAAAAGTAGGATATGCTTATCATAAACAATTCACAAGTGTATACAGTAGAAACTCTCCCCGCCTCCCCACCGTCCACCCCGTATCAACCCTGACAAGAGCAACCACTGCTCAGTGGTGTGGGCCTTTCCCCACCATTTTCTGTGCACATAAACGCACATACATATTTTTTCAAACAAATAGGACCATGTTTTATGTTTTTCTTTACCTTTCTTAGATTTTTTGGCTTAACAGTATGTCTGGGAGATGTTTCCATGTCAGAACACACAAGTCTACCTCGTTCTTTTCAGTGGCTGTGTTGACATTCATAGGACAGCTGTCTGAAAATTCCTTTAACCACTCGCGTATTGATGGATGTGGACATTATGTCTAATGCACTGCTGAGGGGAACATTTCTGTAGGTGCCTTAGCGTGCAAGCATTTCAGTGAGGTCGAGTGCTCCAAGTGAGATTTTTGGATCAAAGAATGCGCACACCCAGCAAATCAGCAAGAGCAAGAATTTAACACTTCTAATTAATTCCAAGTGTTGGTGACTGTGTGGACACTTGTGTGCATGTGGGAATGTCATGGAGATACTGTTCATAATAGCGGAGAAACTGGAAACAGTTATGCTCATCAATAGGAGAACAGATACAAAAAACATTACGGCACCTGTCAATGAGCGAATCCCACTGTATTCTAGAAGGAACGCACTGAGGTTCCTAAAGTATTGGTAATATTCCCTTTCTGTCTTTCTTAAACTGTATATGTGTTTGATACTCTATTTTTGCATGTACTTTGTATTTTACTATAAAACATTTAAATGTGCATTTTAAATCTTCATAAATATTCTTGAATTATCCGCTCTAAAAGACTGTGCACTTTATACTTCCACCTAGAAGGTATGAGGGGTTCCGTGGGTAGCACGAAAGGTTAAACGCGTGACTGCTAACTGAAAGGCTGGAGATCTGAATTCACCCAGAGGTGCCTCAGAAGAAATGCTTGGTGATCTGCTCTGAAAGGTCACAGCCACGAAAACCTCATGGAGCATAATTATACCCTGCAACATATGAGGTTGCCATGAATGACTTGGAATCAACTCGACAGTAAACTGGTTGGTTTTTTTGGTTTATAGTTTATGACAGTACCCATTTCCCCACACTCTCACAATGATAAATGTATCTGACCTTTTATGCTCTGACCATCTGATGAAAGAAAAATATACCATCGGTGTCTCATTTGAATGTGCTTTTTCATGATTACCAATATGGACGGTGGAAGGAATACACAGAGTGTATCAAAAAGAATTGGTTGAAGTTCAGCCATTTCAGGAGGTAGCGTATGATCAAGAACCAATGGTATGGAAGGAAGAAGTTCAAGCTGCATTGAAGGCATTGGCGAAAAACAAGGCTCCAGGAATTGACAGAATACTAATTGAGATGTTTCAACAAACAGGTACAATGCTGGAAGCACTCACTCGTCTATGCCAAGAAATTTGGAAGACAGTTACCTGGCCAACCGACTGGAAGAGATCCATGTTTGTGCTCATTCTAAAGAAAGGTGATCCAACAGAAAGCAGAAATTATTGAACAATATCTTTAATAGCACATACAAGTAAAATTTTGCTGAAGATAATTCAAAAATGATTGCAGAAGTACATCGACAGGGAACTGCCAGAAATTTGAGCCAGATTCAGAAGAGGACATGGAATGAGGGGTATCATAGCTGATGTTAGATGGACTTTGGCTGAAAGCAGAGAATATCAGAAAGATGTTTACCTGTGTTTTATTGACTACACAAAGGCATTCGACTGTGTGGATCATAACAAATTATGGATAACTTTGCAAAAAATAGGAATTCCAGAACACTTAATTGTGCTCATGAGGAACCTGTACATTGAACAAGAGGCAGTCATTCAGACAGAACAAGGGGATACTGCATGGTTTAAAATCCGGGTTGTATCCTTTCACCATACTTATTCAATCTGTATGCTGAGCAAATAATCTGAGAAACTGGTCTATATGAAGAAGCACGGGGCAGCAGGATTGAAGGAAGGCTCATTAACAACCTAGGTTATGCAGATGACACAACCTTACTTGCTGAAAGTGAAGAGGACTTGAAGCACTTACTGATGAAGATCAAAGACCACAGCCTTCAGTATGGATTTCACCTCAACACAAAGACGACAGAAATCCTCACACTGGACCAATAAGCAACATCATGATAAATGGAGAAGAGATTGAAGTTGTCAAGGATTTCATTTTACTTGGATACACAGTCAACACCCATGGAAGCAGCAGTCAAGAAATCAAATGATGTATTGCATTTGGCAAATCTGCTGCAAAAGACTAAAGTGTAAAGAGCAAAGATATCACTTTGAGGACTAAGGTGCGCCAGACCTAAGCCATGGTGTTTTCAGTTGCTTCGTATGCATGAGAAAGCTGGACGATGAATAAGGAAGACCGAAGATGTCTTTGAATTGTGGTGTTGGTGAAGAATACTGAATATACCATGGACTGCCAGAAGAATGAACAAATCTGTCTTGGAAGAAGTACAACCAGAATGCTCCTTAGAAGCAAGGATGGCGAGGCTACGTCTCACATACTTTGGACATGTTATCAGGAGGGACCAGTCCCTGGATAAGGACATTATGCTTGGTAAAGTAGAGGGTCAGCGAAAAAGAGAAAGACCCTCAATGAGATGGATTGACTCAGTGGCTGCAACAATAGGCTCAAGCATAATGATTGTGAGGATGGCGCAGAACTGGGCAGTGTTTCGTTCTGTTATATACAGGGTTGCTGTGAGTCAGAACCAACTCAACAGCACCAAACAACCAAACAACAACATGTCTACTGTTATGGATTGAATTGTGTCCCCCCAAAATATGTGTCAAATTGGCTGGGCTATGATTCCCAGTGATGTGTGGTTGTCCACCATTTTGTGATCTGATGTGATTATCCTACGTGTTGTAAATCCTAACCTCTATGATGTTAATGAGGCAAGATAAAAGGCAGGATTTGGTCTACAGGATTAGGTTGTATCTTGAGTCAGTCTCTTTATTTGAGATATAAAAGAGAGAAGAGAGCAGAGAGGAGGGAGGACCTCCTACCGCTAAGAAGAGCCAGGAGCAGAGCATGTCCTTTGGACCTGGGGTCTGTGCACTGAGAAGCTCTTAGACCAGGGAAAGATTGATGACAAAGACCTTCCTCCAGAGCCAACAGAGAGAAGGCCTTCCCCTAGAGCTGACACCCTGAATTCAGACTTCTAGCCTCCTACACTGTGAGAAAATAAATTTCTTTTTGTTAAAGCCATCTGCTTGTGGTATTTCTGTTGTAGCAGCACTAGATAACTTAAGACATCTACAAAAAAAAATGTTGCTGAGGGTTTGACAAAAATTGTGTTAAAACTATAAATCAATTTAGGGAGAATTGACACATTGACTATGTTGAATCTTCTAATCCATGAACATGGTATGTCTTCCCATTTGTTTAGTGCGATTAAACCAGTTGCCATCTAGTTGATTGCTGCTTATGGCGACCCCACGTGTCAGAGTAGAACGGTGCTCCATGGGATTTTCAATGACTGTCATTTTCCAGAAGTAGATTGCCAGGCCTCTCTTCCAAGGTGCCTCTGAGTGAATTCAAACTACCATCCTTTTGGTTAGTAGCAGGATGCTTAACCATTTGTACCACTCAAGGACTTCTCCATTTATTTAGATTTTCTTTGCTTTCTTTTGTTACTGTTTTGTAATTTTTAGCATACATATCCTGTACGTGTTTTGCTAGATGTGTAAATTCTTCATTTTCTTTGGAGCAATTGTAAATAGTATTGGGTTTTTAATTTTGGCTTCCATGTGTTTGTTCTTAGTATATAGGAATGCAGTTGATTTTTGTGTATTGGAATTGTATCCTGCCATCTTTCTAAACTCACAAACTCACTTATTAGTTCTAGGAGGTTTTTTTTTTTTTTGGGTAGGTTCATTGGCATTTTCTTTGTAGACAATTATATCATCTGTAAATAGGGACAGTTTTGTTTCTTCCTTTCCAATCCAATGCCTTTTATTTCTTTTTCCTGCCTTATAGCATGGGCTGGAACTTCCAGCACTGTTGAATAACAGTGGTGAGAGCAGCCATCTTTGCCTTGTTCCCGTGATTAGGGAGAAAGTATTCATTCATCCACCATTAAGTGTGATGTAATCTGTAGGTCTTTTTTAGAGGTGCTTTGTCAATTTGGGGAAGTTTTTCTTTCTCTGTGCGAGTTTTTGATCTTAAGTGAGTGTTGGATGTTGTCTAATACCTTTTCTGCTTCAAATTATATGTTCATATGATTTTTCTTTTTTAGCCTGTTAATATGGTGGATTATGTGATTGATTTTAGAATATTGACTCAGCCTTCATATCTGTATGATATCTTTTGATTAAACAGAAATTCTTAATTTTACTGTAACAAATTTGTCAATCTTTTCCTTTCTAGTCTGACCTTTATGAGTTATCCTTTAAAAAATCCTTCCTACCCTGAGGTCATAAAGATATTTTCTTATATTTTGTTTTCTGAAAGTTGTTGGTATTAATCTTTTATATTTAGATATGTATTCACATGGAATTATCTTCTTTTTTGTACTTTATGTGGTGGATGTCCTAATTTTTCCCCCTGTGGACAACCGATTGTCCTAATACTGGTTAGTGAAAAGTTCATCCTTTCCCCACTAATCTACAACCCTACTACTCTCATAAATTCATTTTCCCTGCATGTGGTTCTGTTTCTGGGCAGTCGTTCGGCTCCACTGATGTCTTAGTGGCTTTACAAGCTGTCTTAGTCATCTAGTGCTGCTGTAACAGAAACACCACAAGTGAATGGCTTTAACAAAGAGAAATTTATTTCTTCACGGTAAAGTAGGTTCAAACACAACTGCTGCCCATCCCCCCTCACTCACGTCATAGAGGCAGGATTTAACATACAGGAAGATCACAACAGATAACAAAACGGTGGACAATCACATAATACCAGGAGTCATGGCCCAGCCAAATTGATACACACATTGTTTGCGGGGACACAATACAGTCCATGACACCAGTATTCTTTTTTTAAACAAGCGTTCTTAATGTTTGATAGAGCAAGTCTTCCCATCCTATTCTTCTTCAGAATGTCTTGACTATTCGTACCTGTATATTTGTTTTTAATTTTGACAGATACTGCCAAATTGCTTTCTACAAAGACCTTCCCTTTACAAACTTAACAGAATGAATATGCATCTTTGCCAACATTTCCTATTAATCTTTTTAATTTTGACCACTCTAGAAGAAAAATAATATCTTGTATTCATTGTATTTTTCTGACTGACTGTGAACTTAACAACAATTCCATATGTTTTTGACTCTGCCCTTCTAATAGTTAGCTTTCACTAGCTAATGCTGTGTGACAAAGCAACTTCAAAACCCACGTGTCTTGCCCGAATACATATTTGTGTTTTGCTAACTGTACATGAAAGGCATTACAGCTCTACTCCAGGTGTGAACAAGAGCAAGAGGGCTGGCAGAAACTTCCAGTATCCCTGAAATTTCTGCTCAATGCCATGGGTGTCATGTCTTATCATATGCCAAAGCAAATCAGGTGGCTAAGCGTGACACTGGCAGAGAAAAGTACGTTCTGTCTCCAGGGAGGCACTGCAGATCCCCTGGCTGTGTGCAAACTACATAGTCCTCTTACGGGGAAGGAGTAGTGAGTAGTAAATGCGATCAACTGAGGTGCTTCCTGGGGCCCTCACATCCCCAAACAGCAGGGCATCTTCTCACTAGATAACAGTTGGAGTTGGCGTCTGGTAACCAGCTTTCCCTCTTCCCTCCCTTCGTTCCCTCCTGTCTTAGTCATCTAGTGCTGCTGTAACAGGAATACCACAAGTGGATGGCTTTAACAAAGAGAAATTTATTTTCTCACAGTCTAGTAGGCTACAAGTCCAAATTCAGGGTTTCAGCTCCAGGAGAAGGCTTTCTCTTTCTGTTGGCTCTGGAGGAAGGTCCATGTCATCAATCTTCCCTTGGTCTGGGAGCTTCTCTGCAGGGGAACCTCGAGTCCAAGGGATGTGTTCTGCTCCCAGTGTTGCTTTCTTGGTACTATAAGGTCCCGCCCACAGTTCTGCTTGCTTCCCTTTCCTTTTATCTCTTATAAGATAAAAGGTGGTGCAGGCCACACCTTAGGGAAACTCTCTTTACATTGGATCAGGGATGTGACCTTAGTAAGGGTGTTACAATCCCGCCCTAATCCTCTTTAACATAAAGTTACAATCACAGAATGGAGGACAACCACACAATACTGGGAATCATGGCCTAACCAAGTTGACACGTATTTTGGGGGGACACAATTCAATCCATGACACCTTCTTTCTTCCTTCCTTCCATGGACACCTCCATCAAAGCATTCAGACATACTTCCATGTGTAGAGCACGCAGACAGAGCATTTCCCAGTTCTTTGTGGCCGTTTCTACTGGCTTCTGGACTGCAGAGTGGGCATCGTCTTGTACAGTAGGGTTAGCTGCCAAAGTCTCTGCACCCTTTGCATCCTTCCCAGCCTGTGCTGTGGAGACTAGAACCTTCCACTGTACTCTCACCGTAGATACACAACACTTGGCTCTTTGCATGGGGCGTTCCAGCCTGCCCCGCGGTGTGGCCTTGGAGAGCCCTGTCTCCACACAACAGGGCACTCTTGTGTTCCAGCTACCTTCCTGTGTATGCTGAGGTTCAGAAGCCCCACGTGTACCTGCAGAGCAGCCACGTGGAGGTCAGCAACCTCTACCTGGGTGTGCCCACAAAGGCAGCCATCATGCTCATCAATGGCACGCTCCTGCCCACCCGGTTCCAGTGGTGCAAGGTGAGTCAGCCCACACTGTCGGGCCCCCAGGCCCGCGGCCCTCAGCCAAAAGGTGCATGTGGAGGGCGATGTTGCCCTCAGCTGCCCCTCGGAACAGATTCTCAGCCTCCCCCTCAGCCTGTCCCTCTCCCCATAATGCCCCCCAAAAGCTTAGCTCCTCAAAGGAGCAGCACATCTGGTTCGACTCTTTCTTGTCCTGCCTTCAGGGAATCCCTGTCCCCTGCCCGAGAGGAGGTCTCTAGTGAGCACAGCACGCCCTCCCGGGCAGCGTACCCCGAGATGCGCAACTGCTGGGAGCCCGGGTGTGGCACTTGCCTTCAGGCTGGCGGTGGAGCTTGCTCTGAGTGTCATGGCAGCTGGAGCCTCATCGCGTGCGGCAGAGGCAGCTGCCCTCGGCTCCCCGTCAGTCTGGGCCTCTCGGGGCAGCTTGCTTAGTCCACCTGGGGTAGGGGAGGAGAGGCGCTGTGGTTTGTCTCCCAGTGTGAGCACCCAGCCCTGTTGGTCCGGCTGAGCACGCTCTCAGGACACTGGGAGCCCAGCATGTGACATCCGGCCCGCCCATGTGTCTGCCAGCTCCTGGGGCACCAAGCAGCCCTCTGCACAGTGACAGTCTCCCCTAAACGTGGCACACTGGGTCCCAGTGAGGAGCGCCAGCTCAACGTGGCACTAACTGTTCATACCCAGGTAAGGCAGTGAGGGGCCTGAGAGACAGGGAGGGCACCCCACCACCTCTCTGCACCTGTGCCTGCAGGAGGTGCCACCTTAGGCCCCACTCCTGGTCCTGCATTTGGGTCTCAATTCCTGCCTGGCTTGTTCTGGGGCACAAGAGCAGGGGCTGGGATGTGCCCTGAAACCCATGGCCATTGGCCATGCCCAGCCTTTGGCACCAACGTTAGCCTCACCTGGCCATTCTTTGTGGCACAGATGGGCCCAGCTTCCCAGTTTTCCCCGAGATCCAGAGCAGAGCTGCCTCTCAGGGCAGGCCCTGTGCAGAGTGCTGCTGGGGGAGGCCAACTGCTGGCCAGCTTCCTCCTGAGGGACTATCATTCTCCCCACAGTGGCCCATTGGAAGGCCACCAGGGCAGAACACACTCAGTACTGGGCCCTGGCTCCGCCTTTATCATTCTTGTGGGAAGATGTAACTTCTTCCTCACAGAGACTTGTAGACCCACGTCCCAGTTCCTCACTGACAAACGTGGGGACAGTGGGCTTTCCTGCACAGCTGAGCCCTGAGCTCTGGGGTGATGGGCAGATGGGCCCACACCTAGCGTGGAGCTCAGGGAGGGTGTGGATTCTGTGCTGACCTTGTCGAAGGCAGCTCCCAGAAGGAGATTCAAATCAAAATAAAATGTGTGGCTTCTCCAGAGGTCCACTTTGAAAAGTCTCACTTCATGTCGGCCTGCCCACATATCTGGGGCAGACTTAGATGTGAGCCCTGAGGAAAGAGCAGGAGGGGCGTGGGCTGAGCTCCCGGACTAGGCTTGTGGACAGTGCTTGCTGGAGAGACTGGGGAATCCTTCCAGACAGATAAGCCTGCAGAGAGGAGGTTGAGGCCTTTGCGTTGAGCCACCCCATGGCCACCACCTCTGCTGTGGAAGAGCGTCAGGAACATCTTCTTGAGGCCCCAGCCCTGGGTCTCCCTGGAGTGACGTGACCTTGCATGGGCTTTTCTTGTAGGAAGAGCTGACAGATCTGGCCCTCCCTTGTCATGTGTCAGGCATGAATAAGCCTCTGGTACTGGGCATCTCTGGAAAAGCCCAGGGACTGCAAGTGACCATCACCATCTCTATGGAGGACTCTGACAGCAGGTAAGCCGGGGGTAGGGCCAGGGTCTGAGGGCTGAGGTGACCCCACAACAGACCAGCATCGCCCTGTGGTGCCAGTCTACTCCTGGCTGATTCCTACAGCCAGGGAAAGGCCACAGATCCCCCTACTTCATCCCCATCCTCTATGTGGAACAGATTCCCCCACTTCTTCTCTGCCTTCTGTGTGGAACAGACCCCTGCCTCATCCCTACCCTCTGTGTGGAACAGACCCCTACCTCATCCCCACCTTCTGTGTGGAACAAATCCTCCCACCTCATCCCCACCCTCTGTGTGGAACAAATCCTCCCACCTCATCCCCACCCTCTGTGTGGAATTCTCCCACCTCCTCCCCATCCTCTATATGGAACATCCCCCACCTCCTCCCCATCCTCTATATGGAACATCCCCCACCTCCTCCCCATCCTCTGTATGGAACATCCCCCACCTCCTCCCCACCCTCTGTGTGGAACATCCCCTACCTCATCCCCACCCTCAGTGTGGCCTTTCCCCGCACACTTGGTGACATGGTGACCAGGCAGGTAGGGGATGACTAGAGACAGGACTTGTAGGTACTTTATGCCCCCCCTACACACAAGGCCCAGCAGCTGGGAGACAGGCCATTCTGTCCCTGGCTGGGGAGAGCTTGTGCAGAGCTTGAAGCCTCTCTTGGCGTTGGGGGTGGACAGGAGAGGTGGGTCTGTGGGGTAGTGGTTCAATGAGGAGAGCATCCAAGGATGAGGCCTGGTTCCTGGCCAGCTCCCATCCCACCCAGGGTGACAGGGCTGGGCCAAGGGCGACACGTGACACAGTCCCTGTGGGCAGGGGCAGCTTCTTCAGCACAAAGCAGTGGCCAGGTCACCTGGGAGAGCTCCACCTGGACTTTGGCTCAGCTGTGCCACTGAGGACCCGTGTGAACTGCCAGCTCATCCTGACCAATCACTCCCCGATACAGACCCCTTTCAGCCTCAATTTTGAGTACTTCGGGAGCCCCCAAAGCAGCCTGAGCAAAAAGGCCAGCCTGTAAGTCGGCTTTCTTTCTGAGGCAGGTCCCAGGGTGGGTGTGGCTAGGTGGGCCTTACCCCCATTGACCTGTGTGTGGCTCAGGTGACCAGAGGCTCGTGGGTGTGTGAGGTGGGAGGATGTGATATTGCAGACAGCGGTGGAGACACAGAGGGGAAATGGCTCCTGCTGCCCACCTCCCAGACGATGAACAGGTTTGTGGGAGAGGCAGCAATGTGATATTTCTCCTCAGCCTGGCCTCCTGAGGTGGAGGGCCTCTGATAGACCTGGAGGAATTTGGGCCTGTGGATGAGGCAGGAGTTCCTCAGGTGGAGGGAGCCATGTGGGCAAAGGTGAGGCAGCGAGGGAGCCCACCTGCATTCAGGGAACAGAGAAGAGCTGTCTGGGCTGGCATGTGGAGGGCTGGGTGGGGAGGAGATCTGCTGTGGATGCCCAACACATACGACAGATCAGCAAAGCGGCAGTGGTCATGCAGAGGCAAGACCCGGAGCACTGTTTACACACGCACGCACGCACGTGCGCACACACACACAGGCGTGTGCTGGAGGCAGCTAGTCCTGGCTCAGGAGAGCCAGTTGCTAAATATTCAAACATTTTGCAAGGCTAAAGCTGGAAATCAACCACTGTCAGAGTATTTACACCACAGAAATCGGCAAACACTACAAATTAAGGCTTTTTTCCCCCCTGGAGAGGCAGTTTACCAGCACACTGCTGCATGATGCCTTACCACGTAATCTCCTAAGGCAGAGGAGGCCAACTTTAAAAGCCACTGCCATGGACGGGGGGAGCCAAGAACAGTGTCTAAGCCACAAACTTCTCCACTCTGGAAGGGTTACTGTGCGTCTGAGGCAGGGAGATGTCAGTGGAAGGACTGGAAGAGGGGCTGTTTCAGAAGACTGGGCCAGAGCTGGGGACGGTTTGTATCCAGGGGTCACCAGGGCTCAGAGCCTGGGGCGGAGGGAGGATCTTCCCGGAACCGTCCTAGGGGTCTGGAGCTGGCAAGTGGCCTGCAGCTGGGGACACTTCAGGCCCTTGCGGGGGCTGCCAGGGAAGCAGAGACTGGGGAAGGAGGTGAGGAGACCTGAGCAGCTCTCCTGGAGGGGTGAGCAGGGCCACCTTCCCAGGCTGGGCACCTAGAGGGATGCTGGCTGCCGTGGGCCAAGGCTCAGGACTGGAAGGGCTCGGATGTCTTGATGCTATTTCTACATCTCTGTCTCTAAAGCCCCGACATGCCCCCTGCTCTGCTAAAGACAGCCCGGATTCGAGAGCGCTTAGCCAACCGGGAGCAGCTGGGTAAGAGCCGCCAGGCGGGTGCTGCTGGGCTCAGGCGTGGCCCGAGCTGGGCTTCCCGCAGCCTTCTGGGGATATGGGCAGGACCAGAGACCCCAGCCGAGGTCATCAAGATGACCGTGGCCCATCACCTGACAAGCCCCTCTCCAGGGAGGCTGCCTCCCCGCTAGGCAGAGCTTGGGCACAGGGCCGGGATTTGATTTGGGTTGGGTGAGGTCCATAAGGGAGGGCTCTGACAGGGCCTGGCCTCTTAGACGAGAGGCTAAGCAGGCAGGCCCTGAGCCCGCTAATGCCTGGGCTCCAGGCTCCCGGGATGAGGGCACGTTTAGCCTGACTAAGGCCAGGCTGCAGGGTGACTTGTTTGGGACGCTGCTTTGCTGACACCTGAGGCTTTGGACCTCACTCCCACCCCAGGGCCCTGAATCGCCACTCTCGCTTCTCTCCCAGACTTTATGGAAAGCATGTTGTCTCATGGGAAAGGGGCTGCCTTTTTCCCCCACGTTTCCCAAGGCATGCTGGGAGCCCACCAGCAGCTAAGCATTGGCCTCACAGGCTGTGCAGACATGTGGGGCGAGTACTGGGACAACCTCGTCTGCGTGGTAAGGACATGCTGGCAGCAGCAGCCTGGGGCTGGGGGAGCTGGCCCCGGCCTCACCTTCAGGCTCTCTGCCCTCCAACACCTGACCCTCAGCCTCTCAGATCTTACCGAGCTCAGGATGGGCATTCACATCTGCAGGAACCTTTGAGACGGAGGCTGAGAAGGGTCAGGCAGAAGAGCTGCTACTCGTGAGGAGTAGAACCTTCCACACCTTTTCCCCTGAGGTGCAGGGCTGGGGCCAAGCTGAGCAGGGCAGAGGGGTCAGGTGGGCCACCTGGCTGGGCCAGGAGCCCAGAGGGAAATGACCGATTCCTGGAGTGGGGAGCAAGGCGTGGTGGGACAGTAACAGCCTCCCAGAGCCACATCCTCACCTACCCCTCTGGGCATCCATTCCTCACCCATCTGTCCTTTTATTTACTCATTGGTTCAGTGGGGAGGACCCAGGGATAAGTAAGATAAGGCGATGCCTGCAGGGAGCTTCTAGTTTAGTATGGGGGAGAGATGTATATACATATTCTACAGTCATTGCATACAAGATTTTCATGAACTATTTAGTAAATTGAACAGGCTAATTATAGTAGATAGTTGGTTTAGATTGTTTGTGTTAGGCATGACAGAGGGTTCATCACCTTAATATACGAAAAGCAAACAGACCTGTTGCCGTTGAGTCAATTCTGACTCATATCGAGTCTGTAGGACAGAAACTGCCCTATAGGGTTTCCAAGGAGCGACTGGTGGATTTGAACCTCCGACCTGTTGGTTGGCAGCCGAACTCTTCACCACTGAGCTACCAGGTCCCCTAAAGTATGAAGAGTGCTTAGATAACAATAAGGGGGAATGAAGCATCTCAAATGGGCAAAGATCACATTCTGTGTTGTAAATCTTTTAAAAACCAGTATGTATTACTTTCTATTGTCAGAGAAAGACAGTAAAATTATTTTCATTGAAAACAGTCAGAAATTTGGTAGAATCATGGGGGATCTGTGCAGGCCGCAGGGTTGGGGAGGAGAGCAGGGATGGAAGGAAAGGAAGGGAAGCCAGGCTGGGGGTCTGGAGTAGGCATCAGATGGCTAGGACCAAGCTGCAGAGACCCTGGGCTGCCCAGAGGGTGGCGTAGGGAGCTGGGGAGTGTGGTGGCAGCCGGGGACAGGAGTGACAGGACTGGTGTGTGTTTGCAGGTGGGAGAACTGCCTCCAGCAGTCATCCCCGTGCACATGGCCGTGGTGGGCTGCCCTATCAGCTCCCTGAGGACCACCTCCTACACCCTTGACCGGTCCCACAAGGAGCCTATCATCAGGTGCCTGAACCATGGCCTCATCCTCTGCTCCCCGACGGCTCCGGAAGCCCTCGGGCCCGAGCGCCCTCTGCCCTCCAGCCTGGGCTGCCCGCGTATCTGCTCCCCAGTGGCCCCTGAAGCCCTCGGGCCTGAGCGCCCTCTGCCCTCCAGCCTGGGCTGCCCGCGTATCTGCTCCCCAGTGGCCCCTGAAGCCCTCGGGCCTGAGCGCCCTCTGCCCTCCAGCCTGGGCTGCCCGCGTATCTGCTCCCCAGTGGCCCCTGAAGCCCTTGGGCCTGAGCACCCTCTGCCCTCCAGCCTGAGCCACCCACGTAGGCTTGTTGCTCTCCAGCTGGGCCAGTACACTTGGGGCCACCCAGCAAGAAGATCCCAGGGCAGGGCTGGCCTGGATGAGACAGACCTCAGGGGTATGGCCACCGTCTGTACATCCCTGCGGGCCTTTAAGCTGTAGAAGTAGTGAGTAGCCCATACAGCCCAAGGTCGGTGTCAGACCGGGGGCCCTCACGCCAGCTGAGCTGGAATCGGTGCAGTCAGCACAGTGTGGTGTGGGGGTTGGTGGGCGGTGAGCAGCCCGGAGTCACAGTTTACCGGGCACTGCGTGGGAAGGCCTTCAGCCCTGGGTCTCGGTGACTCAGGGGCAAGGAGGACAGAGCACGGTGGCGCCTCCTCCCTGCCTGAGGCTCCCCACCCCCAGCCCCCACCTCAAGGAAACCCTGCCCGCAGGGCGTGCCTGGCTGTAGCCGTGCTGAGCCTGGCCTCCCCACCCCAGGTTCGGCACTCAGATCTCGGGAGGAGACACAGTCACCCGGGTCCTTCGCCTGAACAACTCCAGTCCCTGTGGTGAGGCCCCACCAGATAAGCCGGAGCTCTTGCTACAGACTCTGCCTTGTGGTAGCCAGGCTGGGAGGGGCGGTGGGGCTGGGACATGCTGACCCACGAACAGGACCCTGGGGTCCAGGTGGCCTGTGGTCACCGAGGGAGGCACCCGAGGGTCCAGGTCGGGAGGGAGTGACCACCCCGGCCCAGGGCTGTCAGAGCGACTTGAGTCCTTGAGGGCAGGCCTTGCCCTTGTCCAGCCTTGGGCCTCCCAATGTCAATGGGGCCATGGGAGCCCTGCCCTCATCAGGGTCACTTCATAGGAACAGAGACTTCCAGGGGACCCTTTTTCATTGCTTCAGCCTCAGTGATACCTGAGGTAGAGAGAGAGCAGGACAGCGGTGTCTGCTGAGGGTTTACGCCCTGATGGCCAGCAGATGTGACCATGGGCTGCCAGAGTGCCGAGTGTGTAGATGTGACTCAAGGGGAGGCCACAGTGCTGGGACAGTGGGTCGAGCCCAAGCCAGCCTTCCGGGGGTGGGGGTGGGGGTGGGGGGGCGCTTCCGCTGACTCCAGGGGGAAGGGTAAGCCAGCTTGGCCTGGGGGAGCAAATGGGGCTGAGGAGTGTTGTGGGCAACGGGGAGGTATGGACAGCTCAGAGGCCTGAGGGGGATGGGCACATTTGAGGAGCCAGCCTGGGGAGCACTGAAGGAACCCTTAGGCTGGAGCCCACCCTAGGCCGGCTGATGGAGGGTCTCTATGGGCAGGCCCTGGGCACTGTTGTTTCTGGAGCCCCTCAGGTGATCATAACACAGTCAGGGACGAGTGCCACTGCCCTGCGACCTCAGGGACCTGCGTGTTGCTAGATCTGTGCGGTTTCAAAAGTGTCTCGAAGTTTACCGCTGTGATCCCGTGTTCATCAGGCTCCCCCGGCATTTCCAGCAGTTGGGTTCTATAGTTAGAGGCACTTGAGTATTGGATTGCCTTTTATCATCCCATAATGTTCCTCTTTGACCCCCTTAGTGCTTTCAGCCTTAACATTGCTACCTTGATGTCCGCTTATTGGACTTGCCTGCTCCCGCCCTCTGCGACTTTGCTGTGTGATTTTGTAAGCAGAGAGCAGAGAGCCTGACTTTCTCCATGTCTAAATGGGAAAAAGTCAATTCATGTGTTTCTTCATCTTGTGATCTATTTTACTTTGTTTTTTATTTTCTTCTTTGTGCTGATTTGATCAAATCACTATTTATTCTGTCTTCTCTTCGTTAAGTTTGGAATTCCCCTTCTACCTTCCTCTCTTGGAGCTCGTAATCAGACGCACATTTCTCTGTCTCTACTGAAAAGTAAGATTGTTCACTGAACTCCGGGGTGTGGAGGTCACTGGTGACCTTGGTAAGAGTGCTTTTGGTGGGTGTAATAAGTACAAGAAATACAGTCCGGAGCCTGGGGTGTGGTGTTCCCTAGGCCAGGCCCAGGGCTGGCCTGGCGAGCATTCAGTACAGCAAGTGTTGAAGTGAAATGAGGAGAGGACGAGAGGGGAGGACGGGGAGGTGATTACAGACAGCTTGTCTGAGAAGGTTACTGTGAAGGGGAGGAAAGAAGGCGGTCCCTGGAGGGCGTCATCCGGCATAGGGTGGTCTGTCCATGCCGGGGGAGACCTGAACAGGTTGAAGTGCTGTTGGGACGTGGCTGGGAGAGATGAGATTCTGATGATATAAGAGAAAGGGGATACTGGACATGGCTGGTCCCCCAGAAGGTGGGGGGCAGGACTGAAGGCAGGAGGGAAGGGGATGATGGCGCAGACGCAGACACATGGGACAGGACTTGAGGGAATTCCTGATTTGGGACTTCTAGGAGATGAGGTGAGCACCAGGGAGGCAGACGGAGGTGTCAGTGGGGAACAGGGAAGGCTCGACAGTGTCGTCGTGCAGGCTGGGAGGGAAAGCTGACTGGGAACACGGAGGGATGGGGGCAGACTTACGGGGTGACAGTCTGCTCAGTTGGGGATTTTCTCCGGGGGCGTCCAGAGGAAAGTTCAGTTCATCCAGGGTTAGGTTTCGCCAGGTGGGTGGAAGGATGGAGGTGGCGCCTGAAGACTAGCCTGGCCGGGGAAGGAAGTGAAAGCCAGCGGGGCTAATGGAGGGAGGGAGAGAAGTCGGGGTGCAGACGCAGAAGGCCTAGGGAGGTCAGCAGAGAAGCCAGCAGGAGAGGCGGCTGGGGAGAGCACGGGGTGCCTGGATTCCTGCATTTGGCCTTGGAGGTGACGACCAGGTCTCATGACCTGGAGGCCAGGAAGTGACAGTGATGAGGAGGGCTAAAGGTGATGTAGCCAGGCAGCATAAGCCTGTAAAGACGTTTCTTGTTTAACAAGAACTGCCTTGAAGTGACATTAGTGAGGAAGCAAGGCCCCCTTCCACCCTGCACATGGGAGAACAGGCCACCTCTGTTTGAGGGGCTCTGGGGGAGGAGGAGGCCTAGGGAGGTCCATCCTCACCTTTCCTTGTCCCTTGCCCCTGCTCCCGTATCTGCCCCAGACATCCGCCTGGACTGGGAGACATATGTTCCAGAAGACAGGGAGGAGCGGCTGGTGGACCTGCTGGTGTTCTATGGGCCACGCTTCCCGCTGCGCGACCAAGCTGGGAACGAGCTCGTGTGCCCCGAGACCCCTGAAACCAGCGTCTCCTGGTCCCCATGTCCCTCCAACATGTCCGAGTCCAGCCATGAAACTGACCAGTCTGTGAGCAGAGGGTGGTGGGCGAGGTGGGCTGGCCACTCTGAGGGCTGCTGAGGTGCGGGCAGTGGGCCAGCTGGACCCGTGTGAGCCTGGGGACTCCTGCCAACAGGCCGAGAGCAGCCCCGGTGGCAGCAGCAGTGCTCCACAGATCATCTCGGTCATCCTGCAGGAGCATGAGGGCGTGCCCTCCAGCCACCTGTACTCCGTCAGCCCTAAGCAGGTGGTGAGTCGGTCAGGAGCTGGGAGCCACCTCGCAGTCTGCTCTGGCTGACCACCGGGCGTGGGGCAGTGCTGAGGCTGCTCTGTCTGTGCCAGGTGGTCCCTGCCGGAGGCAGCAGCACCATCTCCATCTCCTTCACACCCATGGTCCTCAGCCCCGACATCCTGAACAAGGTGGAATGTACTGGCTATGCCCTGGGCTTCATGAGCCTGGACAGTGAGGTGAGTCCTCCTGGCTTGGGCTGGGGGCCACCACTGCACCTCTCTCCTGGATGGCACCTGGCTGCTCAGCCCAGGGGCCACCAGTGAGCAGGCTTGGGCTCGGCAGGTGGAAAGGGAGATTCCAGGGAGGAGGCGCCGCCTACAGGACTTTGACGTGGGACCCGTGAGACTGGACCTGCATGGCTACGTGAGGCCTGCACAGTGAGTCCGCTGGGCCGCCCGGCTTCCCTCCATCCCCCTCACACTGTGAGGACCAGTTAGTGTTCTGGGAACAAGAGCAATAGGAATGGAAGGGGGAAGCCAGCAGGGAGTCTAGGGAAAGGCTGGCCAGGGGCCAGATGATCAGAGCCGGGGTGGCCAGGGGGCCCCAGAGGCCTGAGCTGACCCCGCAGTGCCTGTTGTTGAGCAGGCTAAGTGCGGAGCTGGACTATGGAGGCAGCATGGAATTCCACCACCAAGCCAGTGACCTCATCCCCAGACAGCCCTGCTCTGGAGTGAGTGTGTTGCCACCCCAGCCCTACCCGTTTACCTGTGTCTCAAATGTCCCTCTGCCCTCCTTGGGCACAGGCCTGACAATCTGAGTCTCCTCCAACTTTTCTGCCCCTACTCCTGGCCATGGGCTTGAGGAGACAAGTGAGATGCATCCCCAGCCTTCCCCCTACCATGGTCAACCACCCACTACCTAAAGCTGACTGCCCTGTCTGTGGCCGCCCAGGTGCTGAGTGAGCTGGTGACCACCCACCACCTGAAGCTGACCAACACTACAGAAATCCCGCACTACTTCCGGCTCCTGGTCTCCAAGCCCTTCTCTGTTTCTCAAGATGGGGCCAGCCTCATTGCTTCTAGCCCTGCCTGGGAGCAGGAGTATGAGGAGGAGACAGTGGAAGAGGGCAAGCTGCTGGTGCTCCAACCACAGGAGAACATGCTGGTCAGTGGAGGGTTCCGCAGGCACTTGCTCTCTGGGCACACACTCACCTGGGCCAGATGGCACCTTCTTGTCACACACACACATCAGTACTCACACAACACACCTACACACACCATCTTCACACACTTGCACCCAGATGTGAACACATGGGAATTTGTATCCAGACACGACTGCAAGTATGGCTCCGCCATGCCCTGGACAGTCATGGAAACTCACTGTGTGCTCACCCCCACTAGACACGCTGTCACAGGTAACACCGACAGACAAAACAATAGAAGAATTCAGGAGGACAATACAAGAACAAAACCACAAAATAGACTATTAGAAACCATACAGAAACAACAACTGCAGATCAGAGAAACTAACAATAAAATTTCAGAAATAGATAATAGGATACAGGAGCAGAATTGAATTACTGGAAGCCAGACTTAGCAAAATTGAGGACAAATCCCGTGACACCAATTTGTTTGAGGAAAAATCAGAAGAAGAAGAAAGCCTAAGAATTGTGTGGGATACCATCAAGAGGAAAAATCTACACATGATCGGAGTTCCAGAACGGGAGAGGCAAGGGAAAACACAGAATTGTTAAAGATTTTGCTGACAGAAAACTTTCCTTATATCATGAAAGACAAGAAGCTATCCATCCAAGAAACTCAGCAAACCCCTTACAGGATAGACCCCAAAAGAAAGTCACAAAGACATAATCAAACTTACCAAAACCAAAGACAAAGAAAGAATCCTGAGAGCAGCGCGGGAAAAATGAAGTCACCTACAAAGAGGAACCAATAAGACTAAGCTCTGATTACTCAGCAGAAACCATGCAGGCAAGAAGGCAATGGGATGACATATATAAAACCTTGATAGAAGAAAACTGCCAACCGAGAATTATATATCTAGCAAAATTATCTGTCAAATATGATGGAGAAATTAAGACATTTCCAGATAAACAGAAATGAAGGGAATTTGTAAAAACCAGACCAACCTTACAAGAAATATTAAAGGCAGTCCTTCTGTTATGGATTGAATTGTATTCCTCCAAAATGTGCGTCAACTTGGCTAGGCTGTGATTCCCAGTATTGTGTGGTTGTCCACCATTTTGTGATGTGATGTGATTATCCTATGTGTGGTAAATCCTACTCTCCATGATGTTAATGAGGCAGGATTAGAGGCAGTTATGTTAAAGAGGCAGGACTCAATCTACAGGATTAGGTTGTATCTTCAGTCAGTCTCTTTTGGGAGAGAAAAGAGAGAATTGAGCAGAGAGAAGACACCTCATTACCACCAAGCAAGAAGAGCCAGGAGCAGAGTGCGTCCTTTGGACCTGGGGTCCCTCCACTGAGAAGCTCGTATATCAGGGTAAGATTGATGACAAGGACCTTCCCCTCGAGCTAACAGAGAGATAGAGAAAGCCTTTCCCTAGAGCTGGCACCCTGAATCCACACTTCTAGCCTCTTAAACTGTGAGAGAATAAATGTTTGTTTGTTAAACCCATCCACGTGTGGTATTTCTGTTACAGCAGCTCTAGATGACTAAGACACCTTTGGACAGAGAAACAAACAACATCAGACAACAGCCTAAGATGAGGACACAGGACAGCATCGGCCAGATACGAACCCAAATGAAGAACTCCCAAAATTAAAACAAAGTTAAAAGACTGAAAACAGGGAACCAGAGACGTCGATCTGTAAATGATGACAATGTTAAAACAAAAAAGGGGAATAAATGGTGTAGTTATAGAACTTTCGTATGGAGAAGAAGTCAAAGCGATATCAAGAAATAAAAGACTTTTTTAAACTTAGGAAGATAAAGGTAAATTTCAAGGTAACCACAAAGAAAGCTGAGAAACCTACTCATCAAAATAAGAAAAACATAGGGAACATGGGCCCTCTGCACAGGTGACTTACACACGCCTGTTTGTACTGGACATACCAGTGTGCACATATGCATTTGTCCCAGAAACACGCCCAGACCCCCTCTTCTCTTCATCCGCACTGTCGGTGTCGTGGCGGAGGCTGACACGTTCCTGGATGTGCCACTTTGCACACGGACTCCCTCCCTTCTCACAAGCCGCACTCGGGATTCTTTTCTGGCTCTGCTGAGCTCATGGTCGGACGGCCATCTTCCCATGAATAGAAGGCGCTCCAGGTCCCGGTGTGATTTTCCCTCTGACAGGGCACCAGTGATAGCAAGATTCTGCATTGTCAGGGGTGAAGGGACCCTGGGAATGCCAAAGTCTCAGTAGGAACCATTAACTCTTGCTTCCTGGGTTTCTGAGGCGTGTGAAAGGAGAACGGGCCAGTGTCTGTCTGCACAGTGTGCGTGGCCAGGCCAAGGCCGGCGGCCAGGCCCTACTCGCTCTCCTCACCCCTCTCCTTGTCAGAGGCCCCTTTTTGTCCCTCTCCTTCAAGACCTCCCCTTGGGCTGGTGCTCCTGGGGCTCTGGGCTGGGCCTCGCCTCCCTCTGTAGCTTTCCGGCTTATCTTGCCCACTTTGGGGCTTCAGTGAGCAGCCACGTTCTCGTTTCTAAAATGCATGCTTCCACGTGTGGGGGTGGGGGGTGGGGGTGCCTGCTGTGGGCTAGGCACTGTGCTGGGCAGTGGGACCACGGAGGTGCTAAGATGTGGAGTCTTCCCACCTCACCGTGGAGCAGGGGTGACAGACACCGATCTGCGGAAGGCAGGAGGAAGGGCACTCTTGACTCTTCCAGCATTTGCTCCACCGAGGGAAGCCCCAAGGCACAGCCAGAGGCCCGTTCCGCCAGAGCTCCCCATGACACTGCGCATTTAGTCACTGGTATTTAAAATCCTTGGGCGCTCTGGGGGAGCCCAGGGGTTCCCTGAGAAAGGACACCACGTAACGGCACCTCATCTCACCCTCCATGCTGACAATGCCCAGGCGTACGGCTCCTCTCCAGAATTTTCTCCCGATCTCTAAACCCAAACTCAACCTGTCCAAACTGAATTCCCCATCTCCGCCCACTCCGTCCTGTTCCACACCTGTGCCCTCTTCCAGTGGTGGCATTTCATCTCAGCAAATACCACCTCCCTGTCCAAGCCAGACTCGGGCACACCTTGTCCTAGCCGCCTCTGTGACCAGCCACCAAGCCCTGTTGGTGCCCCCTCCTAAATCTCTCCCAGCAGTTCTCTCTTCATTCCTATACCCATACCTTTGTCTAGGGTAATGGTTTCCAAGTCTGGCAACGTATCAGTGGTCCTTAGAAAGCTTGTTAAAATCTGAGTTCCCAGGCCTTGCCTTCAGAGATGTGGAGGTCTGGGCTGAGGCCCAAGAGTCTGTTTTTAACAAGTACCTCCCTTGATTCTGATGAGCTAGTCCCAGGGACCTAAGTTTGAGAACCATGAGTGCCAGCTCCGTCCTCTCTGGCTTTGACGACAGCCTCGGCCCCTAACTGCTGTCCTCACACCCACTGGTGCTCCCTGTGCCCGCTCCAGAGTGACCTCTGTGAAGGGCTGACATCCCTGCCGAAAACCCTCACCGTCCTCAGGACGAAGACAGTCCTTCCTTCCGCCATCCAGCCCGACCACAGTCCTCGTCATGTGAGCAGGCAAAGGCCCTTTTGCTCACTTGTCTGCCCCCCGCTAGCCTCTGGCCCGAGGGCAGGCACAGCCTTGAGCCCAGCACCAACGGGCTGGGCACGGAGGAGGTGCTGGGCAGTGTATCTGAAACCACCAGGTGGGCCCTGGGTGACTGTTTGCGGGCAAGGTGGGGCCGGTCTGGGCCCTGGGGGCTGAGCCAGAACGTGCTGGGCCTGCAGCGGCAGCAGGAGGGGAAGAGCGGCCTGAGGTGACCGCGCCTCCCACCCACTCAGGTGAACGTGTCCTTCTCGCTGTCCTTGGAGCTGCTGTCCTACCAGAAGCTCCCAGCCGACCAGATGCTGCCTGGTGTGAGGATTCAGCAGAGCGCAAGTGGACAGAAGGAGATGGTGTTTACTCAGAACCTGCTCCTGGAGTACGCCAACCGGACCACTCAGGCGAGTCCCAGGCCTGCCCCCTGCTCTGGCGGGGTCAGAGGAGCCTCGGTCACTGCCTCCAGCACAGGAGGGTGAGACGTAGTGCCTACGCATGATGTCCCGTCTCTGGGAACTGTGGAAGAGGGCCTTGCACACGGATAGAGGGGTCATCCCATCCTCACCCGTCCCAGGAGCAGGTAGAGTCCTATAGAATAGAAAACCAGGGAAGGCTCCCTGGAGGAGGAGGCATGTGAAGACTACACACATTAAATCAGGAGAAACGGGAAACCACGTTGCAAGTCAGACTGAGGGAATGGCCTGATGTGTGGGGACAGTGAGCAGCAGAGGCAGCTGTGAGGGACACTCACAGGCTTGCGTGGCGCTTTGAGCAGGCTGAGCACCACAGGCCTCATTCCACACCATAAGCCTGGAGGTCCCAGGCTGTGGAGGCTGAGCTGGAGGCTCGCAGAGAGCCTAGCTGGGAGGTGCAGGTGAAGGGGGGTGAAGGAGTGGCTGGGGAGTGGGTTCAAGATGCCAGAAAGAAGAGCTGGACGCGGGGGCCTGGGGGAGGTCTCACAAGGCTGGTGCCTGGGCAGCTGCTGAGCTGAGGGTGTGGGAGGAGAGGAAGCTGGGGATGGCAGTGCTGAGGGCAATGGGGGCAGACTGCCAGGGCCCAGAGCAGGTCAGGGCATGCGCGGGGCTGAGGCCAAGGGGAAAAGCAAGACGGCCTGGAGCCTGAGGGGAGCAGAGGGCTGGGCCTTGGGGTCCCCTGGGGAGGAGGGAGGAGGAGGGGTGAGGAAGGAGAGCTGCCCGTTGGGGAGCAGAAACTGAAGAGCTTGGTCGGGATGAGGGGGGCAGGGGGCAGAGGGAGCCTGTGCAGAGTTCTGCCAGCACCAGCCCCTTCCACATACTGTGCTGCCGCCTGGTGCTCTCCTCACAAGCTTCAGGGGTCAGCGGGGGTCCCTGTGTCCGAGATCCTGGCTCAGAGCCCAGCTGAATGGGCCAGGTTGCCTGGTCCCCTCCACGATGAAGAACCCGTCCCCATAGGTGGTCCCCCTGCGGGCCACTGTGGCTGTGCCCGAGCTGCAGCTCTCCACCAGCTGGGTGGACTTCGGGACCTGCTTTGTGAACCAGACGCGGGTCCGAGAGGTCTACCTGATGAACCTGAGCAGCTGCCGGAGCTACTGGGCAGTGCTGATGGGTAAGTCCTGCCGTCCATCCTAGTCACTGCTCCCCCGTGGGGCTGGGCCAAGACCCCCAGGAATTTCTGCACAGATGGCCAGTTTCCATTCCAGGGGATCCCCAGGATTTTCCTGCCCTTTGGGGCTCGGCAAGACAGAGGTGTCCACCTGGGAGGCAAAGCAAGGCTGGGCGTGCTGAAGGTGTCCTGGAGCAGCGTGTGGAGCTGCCTGGCCATGTGTCCTCCCCTCCCCTCCTTGCAGGCCAGCAGGAGCCAGCCAAGGGCACCGCGGCCTTCAAGGTCTCCCCAAGCAATGGGCTGCTGGAGGCCCGATCAGTCAACGCCCCCCCGTCCTCCATCACCCTGCAGGTCATCTTCACTGCCAGGTACAGCCTCTCTTAGTCTCCCTGGCCCCGCCCACAGGCCCGGAGCCCCTGGCCAGGGGTCTCCTCCTAACCTCAGCACTCACGCCGCTCCCCACAGGAGCAGTGAGCTGTACGAGTCCATGCTGGTGGTGGAAGGCATGCTGGGCGAGAAGGCCTGCACCCTACGGCTCCGGGGCCAAGGCTCTTACGATGAGAAATATGTGACCTTCCGCCAGCTCTGATGCTCTCCCCTCGTCCCCCGCCCCAGGTCTCCAGCTTTACAAATAAACATGGCCCCCAACCAAGGAGCAGGTCTGCTGGCAGGGGCACAGACTGGGGGGCTGGGAGGAGCTGGTATCTCAGGCCCCTGTAGGCTTGAGCAGTGCTGTGGGTGGAGAAACCCCCTCCCAGGGCCATGAAATTAAGTCAAGAATTACAGCCATTCTTACTAAGATCAAGCGGAGAGAACCAGCATGGCAGGCCTGACCCTTAGAGAAAAAAAACACAGCCACCGAGATAACACGTTTACTATGTCCGTTCACTGCTCACCCCAAGAATCACCTGGTGGCCCTGCGGTCGGGATGACCCAGGCCAACTTGGTCCAGCCCAGTTAGAAGGGGTGGCTCTGCAGTCTGCTCGCTCTACGGTGTCTCAGGGACCATGTTTCCCAAATTTGTTGAAGTGCCTTGATTCGCCTACCACCACCACCAGTGCTCAGTTTTCCCGCGCGGCTTCACTTGTAGTGCCGACCTCTTGCTGCCAGAGCAGGGCTGTCTAGGTAGCACGCCGAGCCCGCCAGCCGCCTGGGGCCTCACTCATTTCCCAGGGTACTCAAAGACAGCAGCAGCTCCCATTCCGGTGCCGATGCACATGGACACCACCCCGTACGCCCTGTGGACGCAAAACCGTGTTGGCTGTGTGAAGGCACAGAGGGCAGAGGCTCAACCACTGAGCCATCCCCAGATGTGACTTCACTGAGGCTTCTAAGAAAGCCAGGCTGAGCTGCATAGACCAAGGCCTTCCTGGGCACTGAGGAGCCTCCCCGACCAGATCTCCGGGCGTGCGGTATTCTGCCTGCCTGCCACAGGAGCCTCCAGGACCAGATCTCCGGGCGTGCGGTATTCTGCCTGCCTGCCACA